TTGTTTCTTGTTAAATGGTGATATTGCAAGGTATCGTTTCGGAGCACGTGGCTTTTCACCAGAATTCCACGATTGTTACTTTTTACCAAGGCACCAACTACACTTGCTACTTTTATCAAGGTGCTTTAAATAAAGACAATGTTTTTATTTATGTTTTTATTTTTAAAAGTTTATTAAATAATGATCATCAGAGTTTTATTTTATTAGAATGTTAATTATCTATTATTTTTTTTCTGCGAGAACCAGAAGCTATCCTTAATGAAATTTTCATTGATCACTACAATAAGGATAAAGATAAAGATGGGTCTATTATTGCAAAGTAATTTGATCAATCTTCATGATTACAATTTGATAATAATTATAAAAGCTTTGACATAAAATTTTCGTAATAATTATACACTAAAATTAGTTGACCTTGGAACATAAAATACCGAATCCCTAATCGATGATTTTATCTACTCCGATCATGTATCACGTTATTAATATAAGAGATATTCGAGTTTAGTAGTAAATGAGTGTGTGTGAATTAAACTTTTGTATTCAACCAAAGAAAAACTTGGCACCTTTAACGAAACAAAGGAGATTTGTGAGCCTTTATATTTTATTAGCCTTTAAAGCAATTCACTTGAATTGATGGCAGCAAATCTGACGTGGCAACATTTTGTCAAACAAAATTAGTTCGGGAGCATCAAAATTAGCATTGAATGAGAAGCACCTTGGCATCCTATCATGTTATTCATGATCAATGATGCAATTTTTATAAAATAGACTATTTCATGCATTGATTGATTAGTTTGATAAATTACCACAAACATATAAATAGACCCGCTACCCCTAAAAAAAATGCAAAAAAGGGTGTATTTATTTTACTTTTTTACGTTGCATTCGGATTTGAGGGTCGAGGTACGTAGTGCTAAAATGGTCTTCTATATATGATTCAGCTTTACACGTTACATTCAAATGTGAAGTGTCTATATATTCGTTCGGAGCATCAATATTAGCTAGTCATATTTTTATTCGTTGTGTTGAGCAAAAATTTATTAACTTTTCTTAATTATAAAAAAATCCTTTGCAAAGATTAATCAATGTTTTCTCCGAAAGGAAATTAAAAATAAAATTTTTCCTATCCAGATCATCCACTATCTCTCAAATGGCCAAAATCAAAAAAAATTTACATATTGTTTATCGATCATTGAATTGACCGATAACAATAATAACAACAAAATAAAATGTAAAAGTGTTTTTGAATCCAGGTCTTGTGACCCGAAAATATACTAACACTAACACGTTGTGTGACAAGTCTTTGATCTCAGGTAAAGGCTCCAAGGCAAAGCCATAAATTTTTGATCATTTCAAACGGCCCTAAACATCAGAGTAAGACAAAGACTAATGGTAGACAGCGGTAGACACTATGAAAAAACATCTAAAGCAAAACACGATTTCCTTTCAGTCAAGTATCTGCCTGAAGTTTTGAACAAAATAACCACAACCATTTTGGAAAATGAAAATATTTTTATTTCAAATCAATTTGCAAATCACTTCAAACCAGCGTATTGATTTTGTTCTCATCCTTCCCAACAATCCGGTTTACTAAAGTTGAGCAACAAAATGTTTAGAAGTTTCGTGTTTCGTTATCGTAACTGCACCGGATTTACCTCTCAAGTCTTTGATGAGTCTTCTTAGGGGAGAATCATTTAACTTCGCCAAAGATTTTTCTTGTAATAATACATGTCAAATCATTCATTGGTTAAAATAACAATCTTATTTGAATGGAAGCTTGCAAAACCATAAATAACAAACCACACCAACCAGTGACAAAGTCATAGTCATAAATCATATATTCTAGATTTAATGATAAAACAGTAATTGATGATAGGATAAAATAAAATTTTTTCAAAAAAATCTTCCCGATTCATTAATATAAACGATTGAAGATTAACAAAATCTTCATTTTTTTCCGTGATAAAATTTTCATACTTAAAAAAATCATTAATGCCTTCGTCATTCGCAACAAATATCTATTTGAGGAGGTGGTAAATGATCAATTCTTGATAGGAGATGGTAAATGTGTAATTAGGTTGAATGAAAATGACACTAAGGGATAAAAATAAAAAACTATCCTATCGACTTCTATGAATGTTACCTACCAAGAAATATAGCCCTGGTCAGGAATACGTTGCTTTAAGTCTTCATATAAATTCGTTGGACGCAAATGCATTCATCGATGACCAATCAATGGTAAAAGAGCGTGATGTCTAAAACAAAAGATCCATACCAATGTAAAAACAGATATATACACATGCATGTATCAGTCAAATAAAATAATAAAGATTATCATGTTGCGTAAATTAAATCGACAAATCAAAAACACCAATGTATTTTATACAAATATATAAGAATTTTTATTGACGACGGAGTTCACACGCTCTAGTTATATATTTTATATACTACAAGTTTTACTGATATGTTTTAATGGAGAATCCTTTTTTATTATAATTAATAAAGTTTCTAAATCATTATTGTGATTAAAAGCGTTTAGAATATACATCATCACGTTGACAATTATTTTTAGTTATAAATATGCAGCCTGAATTGTTTTATTCAATGTCATAGATTTAAAAATAACGACTAATTTATTAAATATTAATAAAAGTAATAAAAAATTTTATTTTTATTTTTTACCATTTACTTGAAAAACTTCTAATTCATCAAAAATACTTTCATTTTTTATATTGATGTTATTATAGGTGTTTACATTAACGCGGATTTTACCATCTTTATTAAATATCAGATCTTTACCAGCACCAAATCCAGGTAAATCGGTAGGCTTACAATAAATTGCTTGTTTTTTATCCTTAACATAACTATGCAGTGCGCTATTAATATCATTTCTATTAATATTAAATATAAAGCTTTCATTTGTTTCTTTGTGTTGATCTCCACCCCAATTAAGTGGATTATAGCCACCGATTAATTGTTCTGAATTTTGTATTTTAGCAACCACAAGAGTTTTGTTGTTATTGCCACATTTTTCATGGAATTTCTTCTCGTCTAAGCCATCTCTACTGCTACAATATAAAAGCTTAAATTCATATTTTACGTCTTCGACTGATTGATATGTTGGACTTTTCCTATCAATCCAGCTTGCAAAAGGCAGTGTGTGCCTTCGATCAATCGTATGTGAGCCAGCAATATCTGGCTTTCTCGATGGCAGTGAAGATGAATTTAAGATCGGTTTTTCGTCATAAAGCACATAATCGTGCAAAATATTTTTCCAAACAGCTTTTGGAAATAAGTCTTGATATGGCTCTATTTTGTTATAAAAATCTTTTCTAGAAATATCTTTGAATCTAATTAAGTTAATAAAATCTTTTAATGTTTTTCCTAGCTTATCGAAATCCTGCAAACCCCAATGTTCTTTTCCATTAATTTCTGGATGTTTTGCTAATCCCCATTTAAGAAGGTTTTCCCATACTTCAATTTCGTTAACGATAAAATCGTTTTTTTTAAGAATTTCTAACAAAATTGGTTTTTCCAATAATTTGAATTCATCCGAATTAAATAATTTTCCACTGTCAACACATATTTTCTGTAGGCAAACAGCTTTTAAATCGCAAAATTTTTTATTCGTGTAAATTCTACGTAGAATTTTAATTTGATTTTCATTTATAAAATTTTGATGTTTTTCAATAAAGTAATTCATTGTGTATTTATAAAATGACTCGAGACCAAGTTCATCAATTGAAATCAATAAGTTGAATATGTCTTCTCCAGTGCAACCATCTAGTTCGATTTTGCAAGCATACAGGAACCTATTATGATATATACACAAGTATTAATATTATTAAAAATGATTTAAAATGGTTTAATAAATAATTTGGTAAACTTACTCGAGAATTTTTTTAAGCACAAACTCATTAAAATTTGATTTTTCAATAATGTAGTAATTTTTTTCTTTCGTGGCATTTGCCAAGACATCTTTAAAAAATGGGCATTGAGTGAGCAAAATTGGGGAGTGGGCGTGAATTTCTTTGACGTCTGTTTTTTCTCCAACACGAATCTTTACGTCATAGTTCTCTTCTGATACCAATAAATTTTCCATATTATGAAAGTGTTCTGCTGCTAAGGTTTTATATTCCATTATTCTTTTAAAAAATGTTTCTTACGAAAAGGATAGCAGTAACCCACGAAGAAGATATGTATTATTTATATATCTAAATAAATTTGATTATAAATCAGGAAATATTTTGGTTGCGGGCTCTTAAGCCCACTATTACATAATTTTTGCATAATTTTTGGATAATACTTGCTATTTATTTTATTATTATTGCCTAAATATCAATTTACTACGAATAGCTGGATCATTTAAACAATTTGTCAGATATGCATATTGCAGATCTTAGTGGAAGGATCGATAGGTTGCGGCAGGTATCTTATTACCATTATTATTATTATTATCGGTTTCTTCCTGCCATTGTCATTGCGTAAAATAATTGTGGCAATCTATATGTGCTCAAAATTATATTACTTAGTGTTGCTTTATTTTAAACTAAGGAACGGCTGTACGGAGGGTTGATGGTAATGTAGTTGTTTTGGATTCGTCTAGTATTGGCTTTCCTTGAATATGTTGATCAAATTGGTTGTTGTTGAGTGATAGATATTCTCTATTTGATTTTAAAAAATTCCTTTTTTTTCGAGATTTAAATATCACTAGTGGTAAAAGCCTGAGGTGAAGGTTTGGCCAAAGCTTTCTTAGTTAAATCTATTACCATCACTGTCTGTCGATTGCTTGAACCTCAATGTTTTCATAGTGTTCATGACAGGAAACAAATCAAGGAATATTAAAGCTCTTAAATTTGGATCGTTAAAAGTACAGATTTATTACCTGGTTTAATTAAAAATAGTTCAAGTTCTATTAAAAATAATAAACAAATGAATTTCATAGTAAACTTTGTTTAAACTAATTGTAGTTTCAAATAAAATCTTGACACTTGAAATTATTATAGCAAATACTTGTTATCTTTTGAAATACACTCTTCAACAAGATATAACATATCATGCATTTCAATGCATGCTTTAAATTTATCATTTGAGTTCTTTATATTGTCAACAATTTTATATTTTGCTTGCTCTATAATTAAAATTTCTGTATCCCTTGTTAGATAGTTGATTTTGATGTCTGGTATTAATGCTTTTAAAGCATCTGAATTTTGAGACTTAAGGTCATTTTTCCTTTGTTTATTAGCTACCAGCACTCTAAATAAAAAATTTTTGTGTTAAATTGGAAATTTGGAATGAAGCTTTACAATAGCAAAATCTACCTTTGACAATGAACATTATATATCCTGGAAACATAGAAAAGATCATTTACTAGATCAAAATAAATTTGTCTGTTTAGATGACCTTCACTCAGATCGATTTGATAAAAGTTTTGATTTGAACTAAACAATCATGTCCTAAAAAAATAACATCCTTTACTTGCCAGTTAAGTTACCAACAACAATTCATGAAAATGATAAATAAACTTACAATTTTTCTGTAAATGCTCTTGATGCAAATTGTATTGAATCTACTAGATCATTGCTGTAAATACTATCATTTGCATAAAACTTTTTTAATATTTGTTCACTTTCAGGAAATGTTTTTAATTTGGAAATGATTTTAATCCTTTTGATTATTCTTTCATCAATTTCAGATGATGTAATAAGATCATTGAGATTATTTTGATATTTGTTTAAAAGAGACAATTCATTATATGTTGGCGAATCAAGGTCAATAATACCAATTTTTATTAATTCACCATATGAAATTGAAATATATATGTGGCTTAATAATTTAATTCCTTATATCTAAATAATATTTTGCTTACTCTCTTGAGGCTTTGGAGTATACTTGAAATAACAGATATCACCAATATTCTCATTCTTTATAACAAAATAATTATTATATTAAGATATAATTAATGTATGTGGAAATTATATAATCACGCTTACATTTGAAAAGAAGGATTCAATGGTAATAGTTAGTTATAATTGAAATGGAATGGGTTTTCCTGTGAATTGGAAGTTGTATTAATATCAAAAAGTACTGGTTCACTAAAAATAAAACAGTTAATTTTACACTTTATAATTTATTTATTATTGTTTCTAATAAAGGGTAATGCATTGGTGATAGAAGTAGTTGTAGCTATCCTAATTAGATATAAAAAGACATTAAACAGTTAAGATAAATTAAAATTAGAATTAAAGTGATTTTTTCTGTATGGTAGTTTTATAAAAAAAACTAGAAATTTTTTTTCTTTTTTAATATTAATTATGCTGAACAAAAAAAAACATGATCACAGTTCAGCAAACAAGTGTTTATTAAAAGAATGGTGGTAGTTTACAATCACCACCACTCGTCACTCCAGTTAATTCAAATTATTCGTTTTATAAAAATATAGTAATAGGTCTTATTTCTATATAAATTACAATAATTATATTTATAATTTATATTACTATTATACTAGTACTATTACTTAAGAAAAGTGTCAGCTACTACTATTTATTATTAATATCACTATTCTTATTATATACAAGGACTGGGGGAAAACAAAGAAAAAAATTACAATTAGCAATATTAATATTAATATGCATATCTTATTTTATTCGAATTATTATTATTATTGTTATAATTGTTATTATTAGTTTTATTAGTTTTATTCGAATAAACTTTCAATGTAATTCGAATACTATGGATAAAACGAATAATTTGAATAGAAACCCTACTTGATTGACCCTCCAAAATATTCGCGTTAACATGCATGAATTTTTCAATTATATTCACCTTTTGTATTTTGCTTTAGTTAACTAATTTTAATATTTCAATGATTGGTGGTTGGAAATTAAATTGATTATTAATCGTTTCAAAGCAAGAACAACTTCAAATTTTCCCGATTCTGGAATTTCCGGAATTTTCAATTTTATTATTATTCAAAATGTTAAAATTACAAATCATTTAACTGAATTTTAATACAATGGTTTTTCAAAATATAATGATTATTAGTTAGTTTGAAGAGTAATTATTAGAACTAAATAATATAAATTTATAAAATAAAATAAAATAAAAATAAAAATAATTATTTTAATTTTCATTCAATATTATGATTTTCCATTTCCTTCATATTATTTTTTTATTTTCTTCAGATTTGTTGAAATCTTATGCACTTTTTTCTCCTTCGGGTCATAATTTTCTTTTTTTTGGCTTCGATTGAATCGAAACCATTTTCTGTTTTTTTTTTTAGACGCTTCAACAAGTTGTCCTATCAGAAATATGTGTGAGATATTCTGCATCCTCATTGCTATCATCTACTTTAATTTTTTTATGAATATCATCAATTGGTGCTAACGAAAAAATTTTTTAAAAGAAATTTATCAAAATTATTCAACTATTATTATACAGCATTTATAGTATATCTTTTCCAACAATGTTGATTAGAAAGTAAATGAATAATTCAATCTCTATGACAATTTTTGCTTTTTGAGCCAAAAATGCTTCATTCATACTATAATGTTCAATTTCATTGCTAAGCAAACCAGTGAATAGATTCGTTAAGTAAATCACAGCTATGAATGAAATACAACCACTAATACTATAAGATAGTAAAATCCAAGCTCCAAATGCTCCATTATCACCTAATAAAAAATCAATCAAATCAATTACCTGCAAAGATGCCAGAATTGAAGAAAATTGAAACTTAGATCAGATTGTTGTATCTTAATTATATGAATTTCTGTTGGCAAAATATGTATAATATTATTAACATGGTTATATGAGATAAAGTCAAACCTAGTGTTCTATGAACAGTCAATGAAAAGACGTTTTGGAGCAGAATTGTTTTGTTTGTCAATGACTATAATGATGACGATAACCAGGTACGTAAATTCTAACTCCAGGGCCTCCAAATGCAAAAAATCATTTCCACCTAGTACCAATTGAAATTGCAGTTCTTTTTATATTATCCTTGATGTATTGTAATCTAATAAATAAACGATTTATATAAATACACGGTACAGTTTATATGCTAATTTAAAGAAATTTTTTCGATGCCAATATATTCATTTCAATATTTTTTGTATCGGTGACTCCGTTGTAGGTTCGTTTTCATCAAACCAATGCTCTCATATCCCAATTTATTATTCTTTTGTGAGTGCTGTTAATGTACTTGTCAGTACATACAAACAGAGGGAAGGTTTGTGGTGATTGTTCATGGCCACCAGCATAACCACTGCTATTATCATTAACATTGTTAATGCAGTTGCTGCTGCTATTGTTGTTGTTGTCGTCATCGTCATTATTAACAAAAAAAAAACTTGGTCGATTGTAATAATGTTAGCTAAAAATCAAATGAGAAACTTCGTATTCATCAACTTTGGTCCTGTTCCTTTAAAAATTTACTTGTTTCAACTAATTATTTGATGTAAGTAAACGAAACCAGTAAAATAATATACAATATTATATACTAATGTTAGTATTAGATTGAATTAAAATTTACACATGGGATGTTCACCAGCAAAAAAAAGGGATCCGAGGACTTCCAACCAAAATTGAGTTTTATAAAAGTTATTACTGCATATAAAAAAAAATCGTAACACGACAGTTTCAGGCGAAAACTCTTACCACACCTACCTCAGTTACACGACAAGGTTTTTTTAAGATAAGATTTATTTTCTACCAATCATGGGGAAGAATATTCCCTTGAGGCTTGATCTCTCCATGATAACGTGACATGTCAACGCAACTAGAAAGGTCTTAGCGATTCGTCACGCAAAACGATTTTCCTTTTTTTTGCTCACCAAATTTGACACAGATTTTCAGGACTCATTCATCCCTTCTTCTAGATTAATATATAAAATAGAGAAAAAATCTTTAAATCACCGTATTTGGAAATAATTATCCCTTGCTTGGTCATTACGCCTGATGATCTTCCTGTCCTTTCGTATATATATATATATATATTGACAAATTTTAATATTATACACAAAAACCTATTAATTTAACAATAATAGTAATTATAGAACAATTTTTTAATCACGTTACTTATGCCAGTTGGGTTTCTATTTAAATCATGCTCACGGTTACACTAGCTTTGTCCAAATTTATCTTCTAGTTACAGACTTCTATAAAATATTTATAAACAGTAAATGTAAATTTTTTAATTGATCGACTTATTAGGAATTTTTAAATAATTAGTTATTTTTTTTTGGTGGGAATGCAATAAGAGCTTGGGACTTTTAATTGCTACCAACCTTTTTATTTTTATTTTTTTTTTATTTTTTTTTTTCAAACATTGGATAGGCTTTGATAGATTCATCCATTAACTTGCTATAAGAAAATAAATAATATTAAAGTAACTTAAGATGACTTCAGTAATTAATCCTAACCCTAATATTGAAACTAATGATTTTGAAGCAGACAACTTAATTGATACTCAACAAGAGAAAGTAACAAACATTAGTCTTGAATATAAATATAATAGTGACAAAAATAACTTAAAAGAAAAAAATGTAAGTAATATTGAAAAAAGAGAAATAATTATAGAAGATTCTTTTAATGAAAATATAAATAAATACAATCTGGACATAAATCATAGAGATAACGATTACAGGAACAATGATAAAGGTGATTTAAAAGTAGAAAATGTAAAGAATGTTGCTGAAATAATTAATGATGATGATGACACACTTGATGAGAATAATAATAATGATGATTATGATGATTATTTAAAGGGAGAAATAATTAACAGTGGTATAGTTAATGAAAACAATTACAATAATAACTATAATATTGAAAACAATGAAAAAGATGAATGTGATATAATAACAGAAAAGAGAGAAGTGGTAGATAATTTAAAGTATGTTGAAAAAGTAGATACCAAAGAATCATCAACACCATCATTGAAACAGAATGTTGGAAAATTCAGCAAATTATTTCAAAAAACCATTCAAATCACTCAAAATCCACAAGTTGATACTTATGATGGGCAAAAATCACCTACTAGCATTTCTTCATATAGTTCATCAGATGACAAGATAGATTTTGAATCAAGAACTTCAAAATCTAGTTTTTCATCCATTTCAATCAATCAACTAACGGATTTATCCACGGATAATGATGTTGATTCTTTTGTACACATCGAAGCTGGCACAATTAAACAAATGATGGCTGCATCTCTTGCTGAAAATCCAGAGTTAAATGATATATCTTTGGATGATGAAAATTATACTCAAGAGTCATCTAAAGAATGGGGCTCGCAGGAGTGGAATTTTCCCAAGGCTCACAATTCATTAAAAAATTTTTCATCACTATTTAGCACAATATCAAATGCTTCCTCCACAATAACTTCTCCAATTGCCGATTCTCATCATAGGTCAAGTATGTCCTCAGCATCTAATTATGATTTGTCGCATGAAAGAGAAGATCAGGCATCGCAGGAAATTTCTAAAGCCAAACGAGCCTCATTACAAAGAATTGCAGAATTAAGACATAGTTTTGAAAGAGCACAAAATGAAGCTAATGTGAATGTACAAGATGATGATGATATTGATTGGGGTAATTATAAAGGCATATGTGTGCATGTCTGTGCGCTAATTTTTATTGTTTATTTATATTTATATTTATATTTATATTTATATATAAAGAATTCTGGGGACAAATTATATCTGATTATGAAAATGTTTCAAGAACGCAATCACAACAATTATCCAAAGCAATCCAAAAAGGAATTCCACGAGCATTACGGGGTATGATATGGCAATTAATGTCCAAGTCTAAAGATGTTGAATTGGAATCCAAATATGCTCAATTGCTCAAACAATCAAGCCCTCATGAAAAAATGATCATAAAAGATTTAAACAGAACCTTTCCAAAACATGAGTTTTTTCAGGATAAGGATGGAGCAGGTCAAGAAGGTTTATTCAATATTGTTAAAGCATATTCAATTTACGATCCTGAAGTTGGATATTGTCAAGGCATTTCATTTGTTGTTGGACCTTTACTGTTAAATGTATTTGCACTTTTAATTTTAAATTCCAATTTTATTAATTTAAAAAAGAATGTACGAAATATTAATTTGTTGTAAATAATTAGATGCCAGACGAAGAAGCATTTTGTGTTCTTGTTAAATTAATGAAGCATTACAATATGCGGTGTCACTTTTTACCAGGAATGGATGGTCTTCAACTTCGTCTTTTCCAGTTTGATCAACTGGTTGAAGAAATGCTTCCTAAAATTCATAATCATCTTTTGGCACAAGGAATAAACTCATCAATGTATGCATCACAATGGTTTATGACGCTCTTTGCATACAAATTTCCATTATCATTGGTGTTTCGAATATATGATACAATTTTCACAGAAGGAATCGAGGCTATTTTTCGATTCAGTATTGCGTTATTGAAAAGAAATGAAAAAAAAATTGTCGAATTGAATTTTGAACCTCTTTTAGAGTTTTTGAAAAATGGATTATTTGAAAGTTATCAGGTTTATATACAATCTTATGATAATATTAACCATAATAACATTCATTATATTCATCATATTATATTTTGTAGTTTACTCCTACCGGTGTATTGGTACAATTGATAACTGAAACACAATACAAAACTAATGAATTTGTTAAAGATGCATATGATATTCAAATCACAGCCGAGACACTTAATAAACATCTACAAGCACATTATGCACATCAAGAAAATGAGAGAAGAAGATTAATAATAGAGGCAGGAACTGCTGAGAAAATGCGAGCTAACAATATTCATTTATCCAACAAAGTCAAAAATCTTGAAAACAGTTTACAAACACTTGATCGTGAACATGTTGAATTAGCCAACGATTTCATCAGTACTAAGATGGAACTTGCACAATGCAGAGATGAAAACGACAATCTTTCTCATCTGATCAAAGACCTACGTAGAGGATTGGTAGATCAACCTAAAGAGATTGAAAATAAATTACAAAATCAAATGGATGGTTTAGTTAAAAATAATTTTGATTTGATAGAAAAGAATAATTCATTGAAAGATCAACTTGAAAATTTAGAAAACATGTTAACAGAGATTAAGGTGAGGTATGCAGAGAGTGAAAATGAAAGAGAAACATTGAAACAAAAATGGAATGATTTGAAAAAAGCCTTGGGATAAAGATAATAACATTTTGTCTTTGTAATTATTAAGTTTATCATCTATTTAGAATATATATTTAAAAAAAAATTTACTCGATAATATAATGACAAACTGTTGTATATAATTGCCTTTTTCTTTATTTTTATTTTATATTATTATATTTTTGTACTTTTAAATAAATATCTCCTAAAATAAAATTCATATATTTAAACGATTGGTTCTTCCGTCTTGTGCAATGCTAGGTGTTGAAGATTTATTATATTATAAATTTCAAATTATTATTTATAATCACAAAAAATCAATATAATTAAGGCAAATTAGAAGAATCATTATCTTCCAAATTAATTAAAATAATGAAGCTCCTCGATAAGTTTGTTGTTTTTTATTATTTATTTATTTTTATTTTGATTAATTATTATCATGTTATTATGATTTTGAGGGTTATTAAAAAAAAGAATAGAACAACACTCCTGTCTTTTAACACCAAAAAAGTGATAATCAACAGACCCTATTGCAGACAAACGGCATTGAAACCTCGTGTTGTATAATGCGTGTTAGGCATTGCACGATACAATCATATATTTACAGTATACAGTATATTAATAACTTTATTAATGCGAAAAATAATTTAATTTGCATTTTGCATGATAGAAGGTATCAAGCAAGGTATTACATTATTTTTTAAAAATGACCATCATATAGCATATGCGCTGATTTTGTTTGAACCCCAAAATTCAGTACGGTATGATCATAACGTTATGAATAGCAAAAACACATTGGTTTTGAGGTTGGCCATTGATTTGACAGGCTGTTGAATAGTAAAATAGTTTTTTTAGTGGAGTAAATAAATTTTTTTAGGGTTAATTATCATTCTACCGACCAATTTACACATTTAAAATACTCGTCGAGACACAATAAGATATAAGGTTTGAAAAAAAGGTCCAAAACCAAATCGGCTGATATGATATAACTAATTAACGATAATAATAATAACAGTAATAATATTATTATTATCATTTAATTATTATTTACGATGTGATTGTATAAGAACCTTTTCAAGACTCCCAGAACTTCGTAATCATGCAAGCAATTAATATGGACAAGGAAGAAATTGATCATTATTGTTGTACGGATCAAGCAAGGTGTTTGTTTCGAAAAGTGGATTTTCTATTATAATTCGCAATGCAACCTCTGTTTTCGTTTTATTCATCTTGTTCGCTTTATTCGTTTATCCGTTATAAACATTCAATGTAATACTCATTCATAATGAATAAACGAAAAATTCGAATAGAAACCCTAATGGAAAGGAATATTTACCAAAATAATTGATTTAAAAACTGTCAACTATCTTACTAATGATACACTATTTTTAGGTATTAATATTTAATGTAGGTCAATGTAGAAGCAAATTAATTATTCCGCATTTAAAATACAATGATATGATTTCTGTTGTCCTTTAGCAAACTTGGTTAATATTATTAATGAACTTATTCCATTACCGAATTAATTCATTATAAATAAATGTAATGAATTTTATGTAATTACTTTATGTTTCAGAATATTTATTGTTATTATTTAACGTGCATATCATACATAAATTGCACATTTATCAAAATTTTCCGATGTAGGACACATGCACAAAAAAAAATTGTTGCAACGAACCAAACGAAATGCTTGGTTGCATTAAATTGTTTATGGACTGGATGGAATGCGTGGGCTTGATTTAATTAAAATTGTAGGAGTTGTTGGATAAATTCCGTGGAATTATCTTGGAACCTTTACCACTTGCAAATAATAATAATTGGTTTAATTGCGACGCGCGTTATTGGATATTGAGATATGATTGAAATAAATCTTAATCCGTGTAAAAACCAGTTCTTGAAATCCCATTTATCAGGGTACTTTTGCATTAATAATATTAATATCAGCCGATAAAAATACTAGATGTTGAAATGGTTCAACTATAATTCAACTTTTAACAGCATAGATCAGAAGACCTATTAATAAAAATTCATGTGATTATTTTTATTTTTATCATTACTCTGAAAGGATCCTCAAACTGACTCAGAGATAATATATATTTTAAATGCGATTCTAACTTTATCGCAACGTTTTTCATAATAATAAAAATCTTTGTAGTGATGGTGGCAATTGTTTTGTTCCTCCATGTATACATAAAGTATTAAAAAGAAAGTTATAATAATAATGCAATTAATTGTCCTGTTTCATTCTTTTCATTTTAAAATTTCAAGACGTAATTAATTGAATAACCAGTTATATAAATTATTTTAAAACTTTATTATTAAACGTATGCATCGTATTTTGTGACACCATTCATTCATTCGAGCGTAAAAATGATTTTGTAAAAAAAAAAAACCTACTAACCGAAAAATAAATTAATAGTTTCATTGGAAAGTGAAAACGAAGATTTGGGTGTTTTGGTATTTGTATTAGTATCGTCCGATTTGGATGTCTAGGTTGATCCCGACTTGTTGTTGATAAAGATGATGGTAATGATTGCAATATAAACAGTAAGTAATTTGATTTCTTGAGCATCTTGGATCAAATCTTTATATACATCCTATTCTATCATTAGATATTAGATAACTAACTATATTGCCAACACCTTCCATATACCTTTCCGGCTCTTTTTCCTTCCTTGTATAACCTAACTTCAGCTTCTTTTTGTACTGTATAAAATTTTGATTTAGCCATAGATTTTGAAGCTATGGAAAAAAACGGCACCAACTTCAACAATTATGCGCTCATTTCTATAAGAACTGCACACGCTTCAATTCTTTGGGAATCCGTCGTCACTAAGAATTAATATTATTATAAAATACTATTTTAATTCATATATATTAACAGCTAACCAACCCCCTTTGTTGTTGTTTATCACAACATTTTGTTTTTGATTTATAAAAAATTTTTTTTTATATGGGAGTTGATGAACCTATTAAATTAGCAAATGATTCACACAAAAATATATTTTTAATGGTTTTTACTATTTTTATTTATTTTTATTTTGAAATCGACTTTTTATTTTCCAAAAACAAACTTATCAATTTATCCGTAGGGGTCATTTGAGATATCATTTTATATTTCCAAAAAAAAACCTCTCAAAGAAAAATTATACATATATATTGTACATATGTAGAGTTTGTCAAAAAAAATTACTTGAAACATTATTCTTATTTTCAACTTTTATATTCAAATTTTCAAAATTCCAGAATTTTGATTTAAATCTTTGAAAGATTGATTTCGTGACGATAAAGACATACAATAAAAATCAGAAAACACGTTTAGGATGTCAGGACATTCTTTACTCATTAAAGATCCCACTAAACTGGAAAAATTACTTGATTTTGCACAGAAAGGTATATTATGAATAATATTAGTAATTATATATAGACTTGATTTCATCAATTATTATATGATTTAATGATAAAATATTAGTAAATATATAAAATTAGTCTGATTTAATGGAATAGTAGAAGGATTTCCATTTAAAATGTTTCGTGTATATATGGATTAGTGTGTATTTGGATCTTTTTTATTATACTTTTAAGGATGATTCATTAAAATTTTACAAATTGAGAGAATCTAATAAATGTATTTTTATCTATATTGATTTTAAAGGAGGTATTGGAAAAGGGATTGCTAATCAAGATATTACAGCAAGTGGTGAAAATGATTTAATGTTTTTTACTGGTAAAGTACAATTATAAACCATCTGATCAATTCATTCATCCATCATCTATCTACTTTACTTTCATGTTATATATTTATATTAATTTTTTTCAATTGATAATTCAACAGGTGAAACAATTGTAGTTTTGAAACATATTATAAATGATATTTATCTTGTATGTTTAATAATTATTACATTATTATTTCTAAATATTAAATTCTCAAATTATCAAAATTATTTATTATCTTTTGAATTTTTTTAATAAATAAATAAATATACATATTAGGGATATTGTGAAGGCGTTATAGGGACATTTCGAGATGTTACAGTTGATTTTCAAGAACCCTTAACAACCCCGAAATTTTTAAAATTAAAACAACGACAACAACAAAATCATCATAATGAAAATTCCAATCACAGTAATAACAGCAATGATAACAATTATAATAATAACTATGATAGTGGTGGTTTTCTTTTACCTTCTGATGCTATTCGAACTCATCTAAAACAATCATCCAAAAAAATTCCAAATCCACCAAAAAGATTATCCGGCTTACCGAAAGATTCCGTCACCTCTACATCCATCATCACAACAATCCCAAATAGTAAAGTATCGCCCAGTTTAACATTAAACTCGAAAAATCATGAATTATCATCAAAAATAATCATTCATTCATCAGTTCCTCCCACTCATCGTCAACATGATGATCATCAGAATAGTTCATCATCATCGTTAAATAATAATCCTGAAATTTTAATATCAAAAGAACAATTATCACCAATAAATAAAATCAATCGTAATAAAGGACTTGAAATCATCGTTAATCAAAAAATATCATCAAATCATTCATCATCAACAATCCCAAATTCAACTTCGCCAAAACTTACAAACCACATTAATACAACTGAGATAAATCAAACTTATCAACTGAATTCAAGAAATTTAAATAATCATAATCATAATAACAGAATGCAAGTATCACCCAGAATTTCACCCGCACCCTTGCCAAATTCAGCACATTCTATAAATTCTAAATCAATCAATCAAATCTCATATAATGGCCAACTTTCACTAAGAAGTGCATCTCCTATCTCACAAAATTCTATAAACAATTATAATAATGTTTCGGAATATCAAAAGAATCAATCAATGAATCCAAACATCGTTTCTAATAAAATAGGTCATTATTCACCATCAACTTCACCATTACCATCACCAGCTTTTCCAAAAGTTATGATAAATGATTCACCTATAGTAGATAGTGTTGGCGATGATGATGATATAAATGATTATAATATGTATCCTGTTTCCACCACACCTGTAATAATAGCAGTAAAACAAGTTATAACTACCGATACGAGTGCTCCCAAAATAGCTCTTGATAACGATATCGATGGTTATAATAATTATGGAAATTATAAGAAAGATGGTGGATATGAGCGGAAAGAAGAGGAGGGAGGGGGAGAAGAAGAAGAGGAAGAAGAGACTTTAATATCATATGCTAATATTAATAATAATAATAATAATAATAATAGTAGTAGTAATGATAATAGTAATAGTAGCAGTAGTAACAATAATGTTAATAAAAAATCTACAACAATTCCAACTGTTAAAATAGATTATACACCACAAACACTTCAAATACCTAATGAGCGATTAAGTGTTTACGAAAGTGATATTACCACTGAAGATGAGGCAGATGATATGGATAAATTTGAAAAGGAAATCAATAAACCTGCCAATTCAGGTGAATCTAAAAGCATAAAAAAGAAAATCCTTGCAATTGATGAATATGGTTTTGTTTATGATGTTTCTGAAAAAGAAATCCCACCAGGAGCTGATCGAACTAAAAGAACGTATGTTTCAAATATACAGAATTTTTTTATTGTAAATAATTGTAAATTATAAATTATATTCATACAAATGTTCATGTTTTAGAGTACAAGCACCCGGTGCAGAGGAAAAAACTACACGAGTTATTAAGTTATATCGTGAACGTGAGGCCAAATGGTTGGTTGCTCTTGGTACTATGAATCCTAATACGGCAAGAGATTCAAAAAAAGTATGATTTGATTTAATAATTATTATAGATAATAAGATTTCAATAAATAACTTGATCAATCTATTAATTATTAGATTAAAAAATTGGCACGCCTTGGTATTCCAGAATCTGTCCGTGGTAAATCATGGCAATTTATGGCAGGTGCAGAAAAGTATAGAAAGTATCGATATTATGATGTAAGTTCTTTGATTGATTGATGTAATATTTTTTGAAACTTTCTATTAATATATTATATTATAATATTACATGTGTTTTTTATAGGAACTTCGAAAAAGACCCGATCTCCCAATATATGATGTGATTGAGAGAGATATAAATAGATGTTATCCTGATCACATTCAATTTCGTAAAGAGACAGGTTCAGGGTAAAAAAAATCCCAATGATTTAATTTACTTGCATTATATATGTATATGTTTATATTTTATATTTCTATTTATATTTACATTTATTTGACTTATTTACAGACAAGAAGATCTCTATGATGTTCTTAAAGCATATGCACACTATAATCCAGAAATAGGATATTGTCAGGGGATGGGACGGTTGGTTGGAATGATGCTTATGCAAATGCCAGCAGAAGATGCATTTTGGCTTCTTGTGGCTACAATTGATGGATATATGAACGACTATTATACACCCACCTTAGCACAAATACGTATTGATGCTTTTATATTTGAAAAACTTTTAGCCGAACATGACCCTAAATTATCAAAACATTTGGTAATTAAATTTCCGAGGATTAATATTGTATTTTTTATATTATATTTATAATATGAAATCTTAACTAATTAATTATATCTTTTGTCATATATGTAGGCTGATAATGATATAATTCCATTAATTTATATGACACAATGGTTTATGACATTGTTTACAATGGCATTACCGTGGGCATCGGTATTACGAATTTGGGATATATTTTATTTTGAGGGCACAAACCTATTTTTTAGAGTAGGATTGGCAATGTTAGATTGTGTTCGTGATCACATTCTTAAGAATTGTCCAACAAGTTCGGAAATTTTATCGTTTATATTACACATCCCACATGAATTGTTAACACCAGATCCACTTTTGGAGGCAATATTTAAAATCAAATTAAAAGCTAGTGTAATTAAAAAATTGACTAAAAAAGCAGCAAAGATTGAATTAGAAAAAGAAAACAATAATAGCAGCAGCAGCTTGTCAGCAAATAAAAACAACACTGATATTACTAGTTCTAGTAAAAAATCAAAACAATCTAAAAGTTCAGGAAATGCAAAAATAAAATTTAAATTAGTTGGTGAATAACCATCATTTCTTCTTCATTTTATTATTCCATTTTAATTAATGTATATTATTATTTAAAGACACTTTTTCCCTCAAAGACATTAGATTTTAACCAATGTGTAAAAAAAAAATTTTTTTTAGACATTCAATTAACTTTCATTTTTTAGATTTTATTACATTTTTATATAATTGTCATTATTAAACAATTATACATTTTTTTGTTTGTATATATACAAGAAAAATTTAATTTAAAATTTTTATATAATGTTTTAAATAGGTAGTAATCATTTCTTTGCTCATCATTTGGTAATTGTCATTGCCAAGTTTGATGCTTTTCTTTTTTTCAATGAGGTCAAACTAAAGAGTAGATTCTTTTTACCAGTCATGGGTAAAAAAATTTTATATTCATTTACACCATCATTCTTTTTCGGTATATATATATAAGTATAGGATAACCTGAAATTATTATTGATATAAATAAATGTAATATATATCTTTGCGCATTAAAAAGTGACTTTCTCACTTAAAAGCTAATGGATCATTAACAATAACCAGAGTAATTAAATTGTTGTAAACATAGTTTTCAGCATGAAGGAAGTGAGTATATTTGAAAAGAGGCTGTCAACCTGTTTTTACCACCAGGATTATATTATCTTCAGCAACGAACGATTCCAAGAACCAAATTCCAATTGTCGAACCGAAGGAGTATCCAAAAGGCCGTAATATATTTTTTGGCCCCATATATTTTTAAGTAAAAGAAACCCACATCCCTGATTATACTCCAATATTATGAACAAAACGCCGAAAAGAAAAATTGTTACAGACATATGAAAGAATTAACTAGTTATGATTTACGAGAAGAAAATTATTGAGTCTCTCTGAATTTATATAATTATATGTGACGAAAGTTAACGGTTGATTTAATAATATATTAATATGTTGAGCGAGACTATTCCTGTGAAACTTATGCATCGCAAAATTTTGAGTCATTTAAAATAAATATATTTGACATTGAATAAATATATTGGATCGTTTTATGTTCTACGTAACTTTTATGTTAAACTTTTTTAAATCAAAAATAAATGTATTATTTCGTAATCCACTACTCGGTCCTCGACCTAATTAATATTATTTAATTCCTTATCTAAATAGAAATATGATAAGAACATCTAGGATTTTTAATGTATGATAGTAAAAAACAAATAATATTTGTGAATCATTAATTCTAATTTTCATATTACTTTACAATTATTTATATAAAACTACTAATATCTGTATATTTTCGAATACTCATAATAGTTTCGAATATTCGTAACACTTTCTCTTGCTTTTGGATATATACTTTTATTCTTTTTTATCAAATATATATTTGATAATCCTCTTAAAAACAATAACTTTTCTACTCTATCAAATTTTAATTTATTATGGTTTCCAGTATCACTAAATAATCGTTCCGCAAGAACAGATGTTGCATATATTTTCTAGCTAATTTTGTTAATAGAGGAATTTTTCTTTCCACCATCAACATCCTTTTAACTTTCGAGAACAAAATAGGTTGATATTTCATCTCATCCTTGTTGATTATTTTTTTAGCAATTGATATTCTTTTTGTGAAAGCAATTTTATATTTGCTTGTTGCGCAGAGTTCAAATGATCAAGTGTTGATGAAATAAATGATAAATCTGATGGCAAATCTCGATATCTATTAAAACATGGGTTTTTAAGCCATTTGTATCTATTGGTCTAACATTCTTTACAAATTGTCGTTTCGGATTAAGATTCTTTTTTTTACTGGTCCTTGCGAGAATTACTCTCTCCGGTATTAAACTATCATGATCGCGGTTTTTGTTTTTATATTTTTAATCCGAATTTCCTGTTTTCTATCCAAAGAACAATTGTAGAATGTTAGTCGGAAATTTTCAAAAGCACAAAAAATAAAATGCACATATATATCGACCTTAAGAACATATACTATCTAAGTCACCATTCATCTGAACTGGTTCATCTAATTGGTTCAATTCATTTGTAAAATAAACAATAAAGTTAAACTTGTTCTGGCTGGGCCTTTAAATAGTCAAATTGCGAATATGAAGATCTTTTTTGGCCTTGTTTCCGGTGCAACTTCCATCTTAACATTTAAGGTATTAGTATCAATCAATCTTGTGTATAATAGTTCTTTGGATCTATGCTCATCCTGGAAAAATTACAAAATTCATTAAAAAAAAATATTGTCGATCTGCGTCAATTTTAACTATTACTGTATGGAATGCTCCATTAAAAATAAATGTGCCATAGTTATTGGCATAAAACTTTATTTATATGAATTATCTAATAATGATTATGTTTATATAGTTGTACTAATTAACTCTAAATTAATTTTAACAAGAAAATCACATTGGTGATTATTATGAAAAAATTGAAAATTAATTATTAGGTTGTTTCGAGTAAGGTTGTATAGGTTTGAAGATGGATCGTTGTTATTGATGATATCGAGAAATAGGTGGCTAATTAGTCAATCCTGTGCTCATATTTCCGTTAATAGCTGTTATAGTCGTCATAATCGAAATCATTGATGTCACCTCCTTTAGTATTATTATTATATTGCTGATATTGAGGAGAAGGTGGCTGATTGGTCGACCCTGCATTCATATTTCCGCCATTGTTATTTCTGTTATAGCCGTTATGCTCGGAACCATTGATGTCGCTTCTTTTAGTTGCATATTGCGGTTTTGAAGATTGATCCTTATTATATTGCTGATATTGAGCAATAGGTGGCTGCTTGGTTAATCCTGTGCTAATATTTTCGTCATTGTTATATTTGTTATGGTCATTATGCTTGGAACCATTGATGTCACCTCCTTTAGTCGCAAATTGTGGATTTGAAGACTGGTCATTATTATATTGCTGATATCGAGGAGAAGGTGGCTTGTTGGTCAACCCTGCGCTCATATTTCTGTTGTAGTTGGAACCATTAATGTCATCTCTTTTAGTTGCAGATTGTGGGTTTGAAGATTGGTCATTATTATATTGCTGATATCGAGGAGAAGGTGGCTGATTGGTCGACCCTGCATTCATATTTCCGTTATAGTTATATTTGTTATAGTTGGAACCATTGATGTCATCTCTTTTAGTTGCAGATTGTGGATTTGAAGATTGGTCATTATTATATTGCTGATATTGAGGAGAAGGTGGCTGATTGGTCAACCCTGCATTCATATTTCCGTCATAGTTATATTTGTTATAGTTGTTATTATTAGAACCATTGGTATCATCTCCTTTAGTTGCAGATGGTGTATTTGAAGATTGGTCATTATTATATTGCTGATATTGAGGAGAAGGTGTCTGGTTGGTCAACCCTGCACTCATATTTCCGTCATAGTTATATTTGTTATAGTCGTCATGCTTGGAATCATTGAAGTCACCTCCTTTAGTCGCAAATTGTGGATTTGAAGATTGATCATTATTATATTGCTGATATTGAGAAACAGGTGGCTGATTGGTAAATCCAGTGCACATATTTTCGTTATGGTTGTCATGATTGGAACCATTGATGTCACCCCTATCAATTGCAGCTCGTTGTTCTCCAACGTAAAATGCAAAAGCTGACAAGAGTGAGAGTAAGAGAGGTATAAGTACAAGGATAAATGCAACACCGCCAATCCTTATGTGTTCAGTTGGTTCAGCTAGTGTAGTTTTAGTAGTACTACCAATTGTTGTAATATCAAGCATTTTTTGTATTTTTAAAAGATTGTCAATTTGTCCTCCCATTGCTAACGCAATAATAAAAGAACTGAATAATGCGAGGAGCCATGACACATATTTAAACATAATATGACTACGACTATAAATGCCAATGCAAAACAGCATGAATGATGTTACTACACCTAAAAATGTATTCAAACAATAATCAATAATCAATATATCATATATATAAAAATCTTCACATTTTATTGATATGATTAATAAATAAACAAATTACCCATAGCATGCATATACAACAAGAATTGGGTAAAGGCGCTTCTATAGTAAACAGTATAATCTAAATAATCACCAAGATACCCATAACTAGTAGATCCAAATTTCATACATGAATATTTAGTACTAAGCAAAGTGCTGGTTTCATCACAAAATCCGTATATGCCATATATAACTTTCGAACCTCTTGGATCAGTGCTATTTGCCTCATAAATTGCAATATAAATTAATTTGATCATTGGCGTCCCCAAATTCACTATTAAAAGACACAGGAATGAGATAAACGACAACCCAGCTGCAATAGTGTTAGCATTTGTAGCGGAGATAGCAGGAATAGGAATGGGAATGGGAGAAGCAGAACCCATTTATATTACTTGTAAAGGATAGTGTTTTTTAATAAAGGAATATGAGAGTTACAGGTTCTTTAAAGGAATGTTGTTGAATTTGGTGATTGTTTTAGTGAAAATAGTAATTATTATTTTCAAAAAACTAAGCTGGGAATCAAATTTTTATTTTTGTTCTTCGTTTAAATACAAATTTCTTATTCTATTTAGTATGACACATTCATTGTTAAATTGCTCGAATTGATATCAATATTTGTGTAAAATCTCATTAAAAAAAGTGTCAACGATAATTCCAATTAATTTCAATTAAACAATTTTCATTTGTTTCCGGGTTCTTTTTGTTTGTTTGTTTTTCATTCATTTTTTTCATTAATTTGGCTATTTTATTTATTATTATTTATTCGCTGTGTTCATTAGAACGTAGAAATCATTTACTAATAATACTAACACTAACGAGTAAACTGGTCAATTATTATTATTATTATTATTTATAAATAAAAAAAAGTGTAAAAATACTAAATCTGATAAAATATTAATAGTTTGTGAAGACATAAAACTCAAAACAAATAGATATTTATTATTAATATAAGTTTTACACATTCTTGAAGAACTATCAATATTTGGTTTTTAAAATTATTTTTTTTTACATTTTTACATTTTATAAGACAATGAATATTTATACATACATACTAATAATACAATATAATTATCTGTAGCCCTTTATTATCAGGCTTTATATGGTTATATTTATTATAATATACTAACAGATTTTTAATGAGATATTTTGAAATTATTTCTCATTTCATTCATATACATACGTAAGGTAATGCTAAATCAATCATACGTACAGTATATATATATATATTTACATACTTTTTAAGTTTGTTTCTACATTACAATGAAATTTTGGCTCACACAAACAACCAAAAAATCAACTAACTACTTGTCATCTTCTTTCAGTTAAAGACGACTTTAAGTTAAGCATATGAATGTATGATGAGGGCTAAATTACCCTGACTGGTTTAAAACGACTATTCCGAAATTATATAATAAGCTATCCCTGTTTTTACAAATTGCATCCAGCATTTTAAACTCAGACAGGGCATAAAACAGTTATCCCTTGGATCATGTAAGCTTCTCTCGCCATCAGGAGGGACCCTCCAAGGCTTATATGTTATCCGGGGGATTACATGATGATACCACAATGACATACCTTAGATTTATATCTTCGGATGTCCAAAAAACACCAAAATTGTCATAGGAGAAAATTATCTTCAAAAAAAAACATCCTTCGAGTATGGCGAGGGTTGCAAGTTTCATATATAACCATTAATTATTTTTACATGATAACATACTTTGGTTTTTTTATCTTTCTGTGAAGCTTTAAAAGTTTTCAATTACATAATTCATAAGTTTTGCATTAATATTAATAAACAAATAAATGAAAGTTTGTATAACAATTTTATTATGATCCACAAACAAATCAGGGAATAACAAACAGATAATACAGTCCCTGGCGAAAAGAATGGTGATGGGAATTTCTTCTCTTTTTTAGCACGTTGGAATGCTATTTCAAAAAGCAATGAAAAAAACACTTAAATATTGTTTGATATCCTACTTAATAATTTGTCTAGAATTTTTTTAAAAGAATTAGCTTGCCTTTCAACTACACTATACTACAACTGTGTTTTGTTATATTGCATTATTGTTGAAGGGCATGCTTAATAATAAAATGGATCAAATATATAATTACGAAAGAAAATATTTAACTTTGATTATCTTGACAGCTAGAAGTTAGACTAAAACAATTTTACTACAACTTCTGTATAATGAACAGATTTCATGTATAGGTATTTAATTTCTGATCCACTTTACTTGAACCGATATCATTATACCAATGCAATACAAGATGGAAAATATCATCATTCGACCAAAATTATCAAGAGGCATCTAATGTTGGTAAATTCGTCTTAATCTGATCACTGGTTGGTGAGAAAATGGGTGAAAACATTTTAAAAAAGGGCTAAAAATTGCTGACTTCGCACATTATTTGAAATATTAAAGTCGGAATGAAGGTGAATGGAGAAAATACAAAATATCAGTTGCTTAATAAGATTTATCGTCCTAATTTTTAGCTTTTATTTTAAAAAAAGAACTTTCAATTTGTTATGTAATTGCATGAGTAAGATTAAAAAACTAAACCGCCATTCTTTTCGCCGGAGACTATAAAGATGTTCAAAATAGAGTTGGATCGGTCGGTCCCTTGAACCGGTCCAAAAGATCAGTCTTTTAGAAAGGGGCATGAGTCTTTTTTTATCAAATTATGACAAATTATATTATTTCATAAGTAAAAATTTTAAAAAAAATCAAACATTATATTGAAATAAAAATTATAGTGGAATTTCGCTCTTGTATTTAATTATTTCATTTCTAATACTTGATGATAATCAGCCAATACGATATTAATATTAATAATGAAAATGAAAATAATTCAAACTTTATTATTGTGTCTTATATAAAGTTGACAATACGTCACACAAAATTTTATATCTTTAATTCGAATATTAGGACTGGTCCTTTGAGCTGGACCGATCCAGTCCTAGTTTAAAGCAGTTCTATTTCTGTTTCCTGTTCTTTTGGTGACTCTTATCATGACTGATAGAACTCTATTTAATGTGACTGCCAACACTATGACTTTAAAAAAGAGCGTGACACTTATAATTCAAACTCCGAAAGGAAACTCGAACATAATAATAACGGGATTGGCTGATTCATGAAGGAATCGTTTGGGTAATCTTTTATAATACGTCGATCGTCACTAAAAACTCGGCGACGTAAAATTCTTAATAATAAAATGAGAGAAAAAATCATATCCCATCCAACGCCCACGATACATTATCCAATGAATAAATATTAAATATTAAATTTGTTCACAGATTTACCATAGAACCAACCACTCACACCTTCTTTTGGTCCAGTAATCCTTTGCATTATTTAAAACTATAGAATAGTCATCCAAAGTGCAATAGTTGTATGGTTAATGTTTACAAAAGTGCCTTCTAGCTTTTTTACAAAAAATAATTTAAATGAATTCAGAATATCAAGTATAACCTGTATTTATATTAGTATGGTTTTTTATTTGATAATTTTTTTTAATGCCAAAAACTTCATTTTTTGAATATATTTAGTACTAGTACCAGTGTTCATAAAATCGAATTCGACTAGTCGCTAAATTTTTGGCCCATAATCAAATGTCATGTGATTGGTAATATGTGATATAATTTGAGAAATTTATACCTTCCTTTTTTTTTTTAAACTTCAAAATAATAATGTCTCAACATTCCGTTGAAAAAACTGACACATTCTTCATTAATAATAATAAGGGATTTCCAGGAAATATAGATTTTAACAGGACAAAAATTCGTCTTCAAGATGCACTTAAAACTGCATCAGTAAGAATTAATTTAGATTATTTGGAGAGGTTTTTTTTGTAAAAAATTAACTAAATCTAAACATACATGTATATATATTTTTTAGTATGAACATCCAGAAAGAGTATTTCGAGACATTGATGAAACTTTTGTCGCATTCAAAGCATTAACTCAACTCAAAATGGAAACATATAGTAAGTTTCAAAAAATGATTTATTTCAGATATTGTTTATCCTGTTATTCCTGTTATTCTGAATGAAAAAAAAGAACTGCTTGTTTTTGATTAATTTTAGTTAGTCTTGATTAGATTAGATTAATATAATTAAAAAAAGTCAGATTATATACAAAAAATATTTAGTATCATTTGGTATTATTGTTATTGTTATTATTTTGGTTGCTTTATAAGTGAGTCAAAATCAACAACAATAATAATAATTGGGTGGTCAAATCAATCCTTGATTGATATAATGCAAGACCATTGTATTTGAACTGCTAAAAATATAAACAGGACATACAAATATTATTTTAATAAAATTCTCACAATAGACATTGTGATCTCCTCACTTTGATTCATCCACACAAGCCCACAATGATGGTAGAACTCAATTCTTATTACGCCTTTACGGAACTATTCCAATTACATATCGGGCGACATCTTACAATATTCCTGTTGCACTATGGATTCCAACTGAATACCCAAAGACTGCTCCTTTTGCTTTCGTAGTCCCCACATCTAATATGCTGATAATGCCTTCTCAACATATTGATGTAAGTGGTAGATGTCATCATCCATATTTACAAAATTGGGGAAATCAGAATGAGGTTTGTTATAAAAAAAATTTTTTTTTTTTTTTGGTAAAAATTATCCCCAAATTTTTTTTTATTCTCACAATATTTTATTTCTTTTCATATAGGAACCAAATATTGTTAAATTTTGCTCAATTCTACAAGCAGTATTTAGTCAAACTCCACCAGTAGTTACAAAACTTACAACACCACAACATTCTTCTACACATCCTCCTCCTTTGCCTCAACAAATTCCTAAATCTCAATACTCATCTGGATTACTGCAACCTAGAAATCACAATTACAGTGTACCACTACCTGTTGCTCCTTTTCATCCTTCACAATATAATTTTTCAGTAAGATTAATATTATATTTACATGTTTGAGGTTTTTGAAAAAAATAAAATAAAAATCAATTTTAAAACTTATACTAATCAATTTAATCAATTAAATATAAACATATTTAAGCCATTAATATCTGGTCAACAGACACTTCAACAATTGCCATTACTGCACTCTTTAGAGCCACAACCAAGCATACTTGATGCACAGCCAATTGCCACATCACAACCTGTACCATTACCTAAAACACAAAATCCTGAATTGATCAATTTACAAATTATGGTTTATGATAAAGTGAGAAGGAAATGTGAAGAATATATCGAGATAGCATCGCCAGAATTTCACATGATAATGTCTATTGGTGAAAAACTCAATCAAAGTCAGATGCTGATTGAAAATGAAAGGAAACAATTACTTGAGAACGAGACAAAAATAATGAGAAAAACTGAAACTTTGAAAAATAAAATTTCAGAAATTGATAAACTTATTGAACATACTAGAAATATGCCTGAAATATCGGTTGATGACGTATTATGTGGATCCACCATTGTTTATAATCAGTTAATATATTTATTTTTTTAAAAAAAAATTTTCTTTTCGTAAAGTAATAATAATAATAATAATTTCATCTCATTTATATATATATAATATTAGATTATTTGATTTGGTGGCAGAGGAAAATGCAATCGAAGATGCAATTTACTATTTGGGAAGAGCATTAAATTCTGAAAGAATAGATTTAAATACATACATGAAGGTAAAGCCAGTGATTTTTTTTTTTACTAAAACTCATAAAAATACTTATATACATTTTTTAAAAATGTTATTAGAATATTCGAACTCTTGCAAAAGAACAATTTATGAGGCGGGCATTGATTCATAAAATTCGTAGACAAATAGGATTGGAGCTTGTGTAATTTCTTGAATTAATAAAATATTTAAATTTCAATTACACACAGAGATAATGATGCACTGGACATTTGTATCAAGTCGGTTTTTCTCAATAATTAATGTTTAATTATAAATAGATTATTATTGTTGTTGTTATGATTATTATTATTATTATTATTATTATTATTATTATTAATATTAACTTTTTATTTATTTATTGACATGTATAAATTCAAAGATCCTAATGAAACCATAATATATATATGTTGTAAATTAATGTTATTCTTATACATCCAGCAAGAATTTCATTTAAACTCTTGAACTTAGAGAAAATTTAAATATTATTATTATTAAATTAATTTTATTTCTTGGTAACCATACATGCATCGCATTTTTTTCAAGGAACCTTTAAAAATTTTTATTGGCAATAAATTATTATCATTATTATATACTATATAAAAATATAAAAAACCCAAATTTCATAATAATAAATTTTTATTTCACATCTTCATTATTCTTCGGGAACTATGTCAAAAAAAAAAAATTTTTTTTATTAGTAAATTTTTATTTTAAATCAATATAGAATCATATAACTATATTAAATTTTTTTACTTTCAACTTCGCCAGAGTCAATTGATGCACATAAATCTCTAGGACCTTGACTAATAATTATAATAATCAATACATATACAAGTAATAAATAATAATAAAATAATATGAATAACGTTAAATAAATTATATATATAAAATTACAAATAACTAACCCATCAACAGTGCATCCAACGCTAAAACATGTTCCCAAAACTTCTTTTACAGTTCCTTTCAAATTTTTAGCAAATGATTTGTACCGTAATGTACGAGCGATTTCTATAACATCATCAAGCGCGATATTACCAGAATGTTTGACATTTTTTTCTTTTTTACGATCTCTTGGTGGTTCTTTAAGCGCTCTAATGACTAGAGTAGATGCTGTGGGTACAACTGAAACTGCAGCTTGACGATTTTGAATTGTTAATTTAACAGTAACACGTAAACCTTTCCAATCTGATGTTGCTTTTGCAATATCTTCTCCTACTTTTTTTGGTGCCTATTGTTTGATTCATTATTGATTTTTTTTGGTTAATTATTTCCCTTTTAAAAAAATAAAATGTAAAGAGTTTTTACCAAACCAAGAGGACCAATTTTGGGAGCTAAAGCACTAGACGCACCAACTTCACCTCCTGTTGCTCTAAGATAAACTTTTTTTATTTGAAAAAAAATTTTAATTATGGATTTTTAAATTTTTTTTTCTTTTAAAATAAAAAACCATCAGTTATGTACATATACTCAACTAATTTTTATTTCATTGGGATCGATTTTAGGTGCCATTTGTTTCTATTTTATATATAAATTGAAAAATTGAAAATTTTAAAAAATGTTTCGACAGATCTGAAATTTTTTTTTTAGTTACACATAATCAGACAGACAATTTCAAAAAAATGATAAAATTTTCATCTGTTAATAATATTAATAAATTCATAAGAATCATAAACTATTCATCATCATTTTGTAAAATAAAACATTCTTTTTATTCAACAAAATCATCAACAACTTTTAAAGGTATATTATTATTATAATATAGTAACAATGATGATAGCTACTATTTTAAAAGAATAATGAATTTTAATAAATTATTACAGAAGTTATAAAATCATCATCATCACCATCATCACCATCATCATCATCACAACCAACTCAAAAACGTAAAGAGTCTTCAGTACCAGCTGGAATGATTATAAAAGGATTAAATTTTTATAAAGATGGATCTGACCCTATAACAAAACTTGATAATGAATATCCAGATTGGTTATGGGAATTATTAGATGAAGAAATCGTCGAACAAAAAAATTTGGAAGATAATAAATTTTCTAGAAAATCACATCGAAAAGAACGAAGAGAAAAAATTAAAAATGATAATTTCGATAGGAATAGGAGAAATTAAATATAATAGATTGTGCGATTATTATTATTATTATTATAATAAATATATCTACAAATTTACAAAAGAAAAATTTTGTTTGAACGTCAAATATATTAGCTGTATAATAAAAATGATTAAGTTTGCAAAGAGAAAAAATATAATTGACTTTTTTATAAGCTCCATAGATTAATTACACACATCTTTTAAAAAAATAAATAAAAAGTTATTGATCAAATTCCTTTTTTAAAAAAAATTTATATTATCATTTTTAGATTTTTTTTTTTTTACAAGAAAAAAAATTGTTCATGATCTTAAAAAAAATTACAAAATCCCATCCTTGTAATTAATTCCTTCCTAATTTAAAAATAATCAATTTTTTTTTAAAAAAAAAAAAAGAAAAAAAAACCAATTGTTCATGATAATTGTAAAAAAAAAAAAGTGAAAAATTATTCAATTGTCTTGATTTTGGTTTAAAAACCTTTATGATTTTTTTAAAAAGAAAATTCAATAAATGTGTTGTATGTATTAAGAAAGTTTTGTATATTTTTTTTTTTTTAATAATAAATAGTAGTAATAAATAAAATCATGAAGGAAAAAAGAGATTCCTTTTTAATTTTTTAATTTACCCATCTGATTATTTTCAGGTTGTGGTACATAATGAGGCTCCATCATCATAGGCCTTTGTCCCAAAATTACACCATTTGGTGGTACTTGAGGTACCATTTCATGTGGATATCTCATCATTTGTGGTATTGCTATATAATGAAAGATGTAAAATATCAGTTTTTATTTTTATCACAGACCACAATCACAAAAATGATTAAAGGAATTTATATGTACCATGTGGGTTTTGATATGGCTGATATATTTGTGGATGCATTCCAGCTGGAACCATTGGTGTACGTCCTGGAGATGGAAATCCTTGTGAACCAAAATGCTCTATTTAAATTATATTATTTATTATTATAATACTTTGTTGTGTTTATAAAATCAATATTCGTATATGAAATAATTAAATAAAACTTACGTGGAACGATTGTTTGCATTTGATTATAAATAGCTGTCAAAACAAATTTCATGCAAATTTTATTAATTACATATGTATGCCGCTTTAATTGAATGTTATAATTCAATGAGATATTTAAATATAAAACATACGAGGGGCACCATTTTGCGGAATTGGTGGCGTAGGAAATGATACACCAGGTACAAACTATATAATGGATATAAATGTGCACAAGTCAGGATATAAAGCATTATTATAATTTTTCCAAAAATGATTCAACATACCCCTTGTTGCATATATGGCATAGGTGTAGGTTGTTGTAAAGGCATCTGTGGAACTACACCATATTGTGCTGCATTTGGATATCGGAAAGGTGGTGCAACAGGATAACTTGTGAATCCATAGCCTGGATTGACCGTTGCTTGAGGATATATTTCTTCATCATAATTAGATGTGACAAAGTGGTGTCTGAATGGTCTTGTGCCATAATTCCAAATTGGTGCAATTGAACTTGGATTTACTAATGGTTTTCCTTTATGAAAAGGACTAAACCCTTCTTTAAGTGTTGCTGAATTCTTTTTTAATTGTCGATTTCCAAAGAAAGGTGACTAGTAAAAAAATAAAATTAAAAAAATTATATAACCAAAATGATGATAATAATAAATTATTAAATTTTATACATACTGAATTGGGTGATTTTTTATCAGTATTGGTAACAATCTATTATATTGAGATATTTATTATATTATAAAAAAATGTAAATCTATAAGTTAAATCAACCCTTTGAACAATATATATAAATATTACATATTAAACAAATATAAATAAACAGGGTTGCTTATAAAGATTATTACTTCAATCAACCCATACCGGAGTGAAACTTGCCGCATTAGGATTTGGTTTCCATTCTGACGCCTTAACATTAAATTTGAATTGAGATGATGTTGTTGATGATGGTGATGATGATGATGATTGGTTGTTATTATTATTAGTATTATTATTTCTTGAATGTGGAAACTGTGGTGGTGCTTTATCAGCAACAGAAATTGATTTATCAGTTGCTGATAATGATGTCGTTATCATTGGTGATGTTGATGATGATGATTTATTATCATTATTTATTAATGTTTTTGACTCTGGTTGAGAAAATGATTTTTGCGATTTATCATCTTCAAATTTGATTTCTGGTTTTGATTTTAAATCTGAAATCTTGGATGCGGTTATTTTATCTTTGGATGATTTATCTTTATTTTTATTATTATTAGTATTATTATTATTGTTCTTATTATCAGTTTCAACACCTCTATCTAGTGCCTTATCTTTTGTTTTTTCATTGTTCGTAGTTACAGATTTAGCTGCAAGTTTTTGACGCTTAGATTCATCATTTGTCAAAATTGGTATAAGATCTTGTGGTAATGGTGAATTTAACTATATAACAAATATTTATTTTATTGTTAATGTTGAGCCTTTGTTAAAAAAAGAAATATTTATATTTATATTTAATCAATTAAATGCCTTAAAGTTTTGACCCCATTTAAGTAATTCGGCAACTTTTCCATCCATTTCTTTTTTGAATATAGCTTGTTTTCTTTGTTGAAGCCTTTCTTTTTCGTTATTTGCAAATTGTCGGAATGTTTTGACAATTTGTGTTTCCATTTGTGTTTCGATTTTTTTCCCCTCAGAGCTTTGATTATTATTGTTTCTCTATATTATATGTATGTGTGTGTGTTTGATTTATTAAATTAATATTTATTTAACAAAATAAAAATAAAAATAAATGAACACCCTAGGAACCTTAGTAAGTAAAACTTCAATTGGTTCTGTTATACGGAATTTAGCCAAACTATTAACTTTTTGTACAGGTGCGGTTGATTTATTTGTGGTAGCAGTTGTATTGGTTACTGTCGTGGTTGTGGTCCCGTTGCTTAAAGGTTCTGACTTGTTATTGTTGTTATCAGGTGATGATGGCTTTATTTCTTCTGTAGGTTTTGATTTAGCAGTAGTTGTGGTGGTGGTGGTGGTAGAAGTAGTATCTTTAGAAGATTCTTTAGCTGGCTCTGGTTTATCAATTATTTGTGTAGTAGTATTTGATTGTGTTTGTGTTGGAGGTTGTTGTGGTTGTGATTTTTGTTGTTGAGGTTGTTGTGGAACAGGAATGGGTAAAGGTGGTTGTGATGGTGGCGGTGGCGATGATGGTTGCTGTTGCTGCTTTTGTTGTTCCTGCAGTTGTTTACGAATTGCAGGTGGCATGTATTTACTTGGATCACGACGAGCCACAGCACCATAACTAAATTAAAAATAATAATATTTTGATTGGATTTAAAAAAAGCAACTTTTGAATTAATAAATAAATAAATCAATTTGATCACTTAATCAATCAGTTGATCGCTTACAGTTGTTCTTCGTCAATTTGACTTTCATCTATGATATGACCACGTTCTTCCAACATATGAACGTTTGTAGTAGTAGTCTATAATAATCATGAAAATTTAAATAGCTTAAAGCATATATAATATATTTATATGTTTATATTTTTTTAAAAAAATTAAACCTACTCTGTTAATTTCATTTGCAAGAGCAATAGCAGCCTTTTCTCGTTCTTTAAAATCAGGCTTTGATCGATCCAATTTTGTGGTATAAATTTCTTCATTGAAATCAGTGGTTATACCAAATAATTGTCTATTCACTTCAAATTGATCCCAACTATTATCACCATTTTCTAGACTTAAATCATCCGTACAAAGGAATTAAAGATTAACATAATAAAATAAATGTGGTGTGTGTGTGTGTGTGTATATATATATATATATATTTAAAAAAATGCAAATGTAAAAAAATAAAAGGATATTCTATGCCCAACATATTTTCTCCTGATTCATCAGGAGTCCATTTATGAAGTTCTCTTTCTCTGATTTCTGTGCGATCAGTTATATCAGAATCAGTTCGAAAAGCTAATGATTAAATATTTAATGGGTAAGATATGAATTATAAGTAAATAAATTACATAACACGTGATATATAATATATATATATCTAGATCATATCAACAATAGACTACATAAGATCATATCAACAATAGACTACATACTATCACGTTCAAAACTTGGTCTTTCTGATGCAAAAAAGTCAACATTCGTAGCATGTATGTCCATAAGATCTTTTGCCAATATGATAAAAGATTCTTTTGCAGGATTTGGAGTAGTTTTTTCTTCGTTTTTGGATAAAATCCTCCTGGCTAATCTTAATACCACACCCATTTCACCATCTGTGCAAGCCGTCCTGAAAAATCCTTGATATTTTACACCACTTTTTAAAGTAACGACGACATTCATACCCTAAAAAAATAGTAAATTATATTAAATAAACATTTATGAACATATGAATATTTGATGATATGAGTTATATATACATACGACTAAATTAGAAAATAGAAATAACATTCGATCATGCATATGTCTACTGGCAATTTCATCATAAACCACCTGCTCGATTGGTTTGTATGAATTTGGACCAGAAGATATTGGAGGATGATTGTTGTTATTGATATTATTGTTATGATTATTCATATTATTGTTGTTGTTATGATTATGGTTGTTGTTGTGATGATTTGCGGATGATGGAACAGAGTTTGGAAGAATCTGAGTTCTTGGTGTTAAATTAGCTGAATGTTGAGAATTATTATTGTTGTTGTTGTTGCTGTTATTGTTGTTGTTGACATTGTTGTTATTGTTGTTATTGTTGTTATTATTGTTATTATTGTTATTCCATTTATTTTTATTTCGACTATAATTTTTATTCGATCAATAATTTAAAACTTTGGACGTAAACGATTAAATATTATGAAATAAAGAAAAATTACCCTTGATTTTGGTTTGTAAAGGATTGATAACCTTCTTGTCTACGAGTTTTTGCTCTTGATACAGCCGAAGACATTTTCTTATTTATTAAAAATCACGATGATGTTTTTATTTTTTTAAAAAATTTGAATTTTTTAACAAATAAATCAAAAATAAAGTTTATTAAAATTTTTTTTATTATTTTTTCTTTGATATTAATATTATAATATTTATAATACAGTCGTGTAACAATTCAATTTATTATCGTACCACCTCAAAGTATATATATATAATATTTTCAAAAATTTTTTTAAAAAAAAATCATACACATTTCCTTAAGATCTCTTTCCACACAAAAAAAAAATTCGAAAAATTTTTGAATTTTTAATTGGAAAGATTCAATGATTGAGTCATAAGTGTGTTATAATAATATTTGTATTTTGGTCTTTGTTTTAAAGAGTTTTTCTTTATTCAAGAACAAAATTATTTGTCATGTTGATACTTTTTAAATAATTTTGGTGATAAAAATTGCAAAAAAATAATATTTTTTATCATTCGAGAATTTATCAACAACATATATTATATCCATATTAATCTCGATCGACACATCCATAATATTAGATTAATAATTAGTTGACTTCTCTTGTATCAATAATGAATACTGTATTAATATTATTTTGTATCAATCAATCAATATATTATTAATATATATATATATATGTTGGAATGTTAATAAAGTTTTTTTAATTAAATTATGATCCCATCTATACAATATACAAATTTGTTAAAATTTTGCAAATAATTTCCAAATTTGGTTAACACCATAGCGTAATTTTTAATCGACCAATCATCTTTTTCAAATATTTTATCACTGATATTAAATTGATAGGTCCAAAAAAATTTTTTTTTAAAATTAATTTTTTTCCTTCCCACATCTTGAAAAGATAATCAAAAAAAATTTAAAAAAATTTTTCTTTATTAAAGTTATCAGAGGAGAGAAATTTATAATAATAACGGTTAAAAATAAATAATTATTCAAAGAAAAGGATATTAAATAGATATAATATATAATATAATAATGTTTAAATCATTATTTACCAAGGCAATAAATAAATCAGCAGTTGTGGCAAGATCTAGTAATGTCACCACCACCAGTGCTAATGTTCTTTCTAATAGTATTTTACGTCGATGGTTAAGTGGTAAAACTCTTTATCTTTCTAATCTTTCTTACGGTACTAATGAACAAAGTCTTGAAGCACTTGCATCAAAATATGGCAAAGTTGCATCGATCCGAATGCCTAGAGATTTCGAGGGTAGAAGTCGCGGATTTGGATTTGTCGAATTTTGTGAGGAATCAGATGCAGAAAAGGCCCTAGAAGGTTTACAAGGTGTGGAACTCGAAGGCAGAGAATTAAGAGTAGCAGAAGCAACTGGCTCAAAAGGAGGAGGTGGTGGTAATCGGATGGGAAGAGGTGGTGGTGGTGGTGGATTTGGTGGTGGTGGTTATGGTGGTGGTGGTGGCGGAGGTTTCAATAGACCACCACGTGAAGATTTTGAAGAATATGATCGTGGAAGTTACGGACGCCGTGGAGGTGATTTCGGTGGACGTTAAGTGGTGAATTAAAAATGAATTAATAAATAACATTAATATTAAAAATATTAAAATATATATATATATATATATATATATATATATATATATATAATACATGTAATTCAATTAAATTAAAAATTATTTTTTCATAATTTTTTTTTTGTTTAAATAAAAATATTTTTTTTAAAGACTTGCACGTGACATTATTTAAAGATTGAAATAATCTTACTGAAAAGATCCCATTTTATTAAAAAATGTTATTATTTATTTGACAATTTTTTAACAGAACTGAAAGAGTAAATCAAAACCAAACAGTAAATTTGTCTTGGAAGAGAAGGTTGCAGATGATAAAACGTTTGAATCAGAATTGGCAGTAAATTAGTTATATAATAATATAATGTTGGTATTAATAAATAATAACAAAGAATGATAATAATAATATTCTAAATAAGGGTGGACAAAGCGGAGAAGAATTACCGTGGTTTGTAGATCGTTGAGGATGGAACAATTGCGCCCATGGGTTCTCCGCAGCCTTTATTTGTAGATGGAATGGTTTGATCGGAACTTGCTAAAATTCAAAAGATCTTCCAAGAAAGGCGATAGCGGATAATAGTAATAATAATAATGAATAATAATTATTTCTTTCTATTCACCTTTGAAATATTCCTGGCAGAAGACAATGTCTGGTACTTGTATCACCAATGTTTCTAATAAGAAGCAGTCTTATAATTAACTGAACTCCGTTGTTCAACAATTGCGGGTAAATCATAAAGTCTAAATGGCAACTTTGTATTACCATTCCTCATGTATTTGTTTAAAGAACATGCAGGAATATTTCCAGAACACTATTTATTGATTATGCATAATAATTACCAATAAAAAAAAAAAGATTTGACGTAAATAATTGAAATATAAATAAACTTAACTATATTTAGATTTAATTTAGTGTTAATATAGTACCAAGAAGTTGGAAGAAATATTCTAAAAGACGCTCAGTTATTTCGATGACTATAATTAACAAAACAATGTTGAAGGCAATGATGACAATAGTAGTTGTAATGATAAGGAGAGGATAATAGTGACAATGATGATGATGATGATAAATGAGAAGGCAATAGCGAGAATACTTTATAATTTTTTCTTTTTCTATGATAATACCAAATTGGATAAACTACAATCAATTAAAAATAGAAATTTTCCAGCTAATAATTCTTTTTTAGAAAAAATTTAATATAAATTACTAGCAATTCTCTCACACGACTAAAATGAAATCAATCGGATCATTACATAATTTTCAATTTTTTAACAAAAGAAAAAGCGTCAATTAATTAATAATTTTTTTAAAAAATAAATTTTGAAAAAAAAAAAAATGAAGTTGAAAATGTTAAAAAAAATCAAAAAATTCTACAAAAAATTAAAAAATCGTAAACCTCCTATTTCAGCACCACTACCTGTTAATAATCACAATCAACCTCCTACTGTTGTTGCAACAAATAATTATAATACACTTACTACTGCCATTACAACAAATAATTATTATACACCTGCTACTAATTATATTCCACCTGCACTTGTTGCTGGTGAAAATCCTACAACTTTACTAAAGGTTTTATATTCAAGTGATTCCCAATATCAAAATATCGAAAAAGAGTTTAAGGCTCATCTTGCAATTCTTTCGACTGCTACCACTGCACCAAAAATCGTTTCAATCATCGAGATTGATATGCCAGTTACCATCAAAAAAATTCATTCAGATTATAAATCCAAGCATCCCCTTTTAGTTCCACGTAGATTATACCATGGCACAAAGCACTGTTGTGATTTGAGGTTGATTAAAGATTGTAAAGATCTATGCACAAATCTTACTTGCAACGCTTGTGGAATTATTAAAAATGGATTGAGAACGATTCATTCCCATAGTCCTGTTAATGGGATTAGTAAGTCGTCATTTCTTTAGATTATATATAAAATTTTCTTTTTCTCATCGCCTTCTTTCTCGATCTTTATAGAACATTTGTGGTTTGGGCCAACACCGCGTGTTTCTCATGATTATACGGGAGCGAGGGTTACGACATATAATTCGTTCAGAGCAATGTTTGTAGTTGACGTGGTTTCAGGAATTGATTATGGTGGAGCAGTAATTTTAAAAGATGAAATGGTAAATAAATAAATAATGAAAATTTTTAAATGACATGAATTATCTATCATTTGTAAATAATAACAAACATTATCATTTATTAGGGTGTCATTCCGAGATATTTGGTTCTTTACTCATTTTGTTAATTATATTTTTATTTGCTAATTTTAATTAAATTATATTTTTATTTGCTAATTTTTAAATCATTATATATATATAAATAAATTGATTATAGAGTTTTTTTTTTTTTTTTGTAAAAATATTAAATCATTAATAGTAAATATATAAATAAAATAAATAATAAACATTTTTTAATTATTAAAATTATTGAATTTCGGCATACATTTCATCAATTTGTTTTTTAAAGTGTAATTTAGCTTGATGTCTTTTCAATTTAAAAGTAGGAGTGAGCATCCCATTTTCTACGGAAAACGGTTCAGATGTTAAGTAAATGTTTTTAATATTTTCAAACCCTTTTAAATCGTTGGCTTTACCAAATTTTTGTAAAGCTGTTTTAATATGTTCTTTAACTTTTGGTTCTTTGCACAATTCTTCAAAGCTTTTATCACCAAATCCATTATTTTTAGCCCAAGCTGTTAAATTTTCTTGATCTGGTATAATAATACCAACCAATGATGCTTGTAACGAATCGCCATGTACAAATGCCTGTGATACTAGCTCATGTTTTTGATAGGTATTTTCAATCTAATTATTTAAAATAAAATAATAATTTGTCAAATTTATATATAAAATAAATTGACAAATATTTTTAATAAATCAAAATTTTGGTTTTTTTTTAAACTACCTTTTCAGGAGCAATGTATTCTCCTTGAGCCAATTTGAAAATATTTTTAACTCGATCAATAACAACCAATCTGCCTTGTTTATCCCACATTCCCACATCACCAGTATGACACCAACCATTTTCATCCAAAGTTTCTGCGGTTTTTTCTGGATTTTTATAGTATTCACGGAAAACAGTATTGCCGCGTACACAAATCTCCCCTCTTGGAAGTGGCTTGTCATTTGAAAAATATTTCATATCTGGCACATCAACCAATTTAACTTCAACAGAAGTTTGAGGAGCACCTACGTGACCCGAATTGGTGTCACCTAATAATGAAATCGTTATACCTGCAGCATTTTCTGTTTGTCCATAACCTTCATATACATCAGCTGAAAAACAAATTCTCAAGAAATCCATTACATCAGGTGAAATAGGCGCGGAACCTGATAAAATAGACTTAACTCTACCGCCCAGTCTAGCTCTAATAGGACGAAAGACTATTTTATCCCATAATATATGTTCAACGGTTCCTTTACTTAAATTCTTTTTCTTGACATTAAAAGCTGTATTGAATAAAAATTGCGTTATGCCACCTTTTGATTTAACACCAGCCATAACTTTATCGTATACACGGTTAAGTAATCTCGGTACTGAAACAAATATTGTTGGTTTCAACTCGGAAATATCATCCAATAATTTCAAAGTGTCACCCTGATAGAAACCAATTGCAGAACCAGCATATATCATACTGGTAACGCTAACCTTTTCTAGCACGTGCGCTAATGGTAAATATGAAATGTAAACATTGTCTTTTGATGAACCAAACATTTTGCCTTTACTATTAAGGAACTCGATAGATCCACCTGTTGACAATATATTTTTATGAGTTAAGACAACACCTTTCGGTAAACCGGTCGTACCAGATGTATAACTGATAGTACTAATATCATCAGGTTTTGGAGGTATGGCTTCTACTGGATTAATAGCGCCATCAGCCTCTACAGATGTGAGTTTTTTAATTTGAATGTTGCTATTTAATTGTCTTAAATCATTTAAATCGTCATCTACCAAATCGTCCATAATTATAATATGTTTAAGTTTTGGTACAGATTCATGCAATGAAATAAGACTTTTTGCTTTATTTGAAGTAGTTAAAACATATTCCATATCAGTTTGATTGATGATATATTTAATTGCTTCGTCTCCTAAAGTATCATAAAGCGGGACTGGTATAAGTCCATATTGATAACATGCAAGTTCACCAATTATCTAAATAATAGAATAATATAGCTTAATCAGGAGATATAGTAATAACAACAATAAAATTTTGCCATGGTCATTGTTATACACGTACATATTCAGGTCGATTAATTGAAAGGAAGCCAATTGTTTCTTTGGCATTTACGCCTAATTTCATTAGACCAGATCCAAAATTACTAACACGTTTTTCAACTTCTGTATAAGTTTGCCAAACATAAGGACCTGCAACGCCATTATTAATTTCGCGATGTCCCAAGAACTTTCCACCCTCTAATAAAATAATAAAATATAAAATTATTTTTTGAAAAACTTAAATAATTATTAAAATTTAAAAAATTGGCATTGTAAAATAATACCAGAAGCTTTAATTCCATGTAAAAAATTTTCGTATAAAGTGGTTGCACCAGGTGGATTATCGGTTAATTTATCAGGTGAAAGATAATTACGACGAGGTAATCCTTCACCTATAACCTCTTTGTCAGAAGGAACCTCAACAGAATATTGAAATAATTCAGAGGAAAGCGATGGATCACTCATATTTAATTATAGTGATAATATTATTAATTAATTAAAAATAAATTAAGTTTTTTTTTGAGAAAATTCTATTTTGTTTAACTTTATATAGAGATTTTTAAAAAGGGAAAAATCTACTAGTTTTGTTTGTTTTCCAAATGGAAAAAAAACAGATCACTTGTAAATTAATTAATTATATTAATTATATTGTGAAATGAATATGGATTGATTGATTGATAATTTTATCTTTTGTGCAACACAAGAGAGTTACTGTGACTAATTGTTTGGTTAATCCCAGATTATCACCCTCAACGCCACAATTTTTATTGGCTAAAGATTTACAGGACCCCAAAAACCATATCGTTTGACTCTAAGCATCACAAAAAAGGACCCCAGCATCGAAACTTTTATTTCAAAGGTAGGCTCATTCTGCACATGTTAAAATTGTGAAACATCTAATTAGGCTTCTTCATTCAGTAGAACAATGACTATTTATTTTATTGTCTTTGCTAATCGCTTTGAGACCCTTATGCCTTCAATAAATCATTATATTTTTAATAAATATTATTGCCAGATTTATTATTCAAAACGCCTGTTACTCAACAAAAATTAAATAATTAAAAAACAATTTGATACTTGTTATATATTGTTGTTGAACTAACTTGTTTATTTTTTTGTACAAACTGCTTTATAGATGTTGGAGGAAATTTCCAAAGAATTTAATTACAAATTTTTTTTACGTAAGTCGTTCATTGATATTGATTACGACATAGATTTGACCCTATTAAATTGTATATATAATAATTTTTGACCCATAAATAAAATACAAATAAAAAAATTAATTTTTTGTTACACAAAACCTACTCGGCCAACTTTTAGTTTAAGAAAAATCCATCAATAAGTTTTTGAAGCTTGAGTCACGAACAATAAAACCTATCAGTTAACTTTTTAAAATGATATAAATTTTTTTGTACATTTGTAAAAACTTTTAAATAATTTAAACCTATCTATGATTTTTTCGGGGTTTTAGATTTACACAATATGTCTGTCGTGCAACACATTCATATTTCCTAACGAAGTTCTAATTTAAGATTTTCCAAAAAAAGAAAAAAAAAGAAGAAATAAATAACTAAAGAATTTACATTAAAGAATGTCATCGTCAATTACTTCTTCTTCTGATCCAAAACGTCCCAACGCAGCTGTTCCATATCATTCACCAATAAAAGATATTGATGAAATTGATCGTGATATCTATGGAATTACATCACTTTTATTAAGTTAGTATTTTATCATATGAGAGAAATTTTATCTTTCTAATATCTTATTAATATTTGTTTTGTATGTTATATATATAGGTACAATTGGACTTGTATTAAAAGTAATGATAGATAATATTTTAGATTTGCGTTTATATTTATACTTCTTTTTATCCTTCTTACATAATTTTTGTATAATTTATCAGATAAAATTTGCATCTTGGACAGCATTGATGTTTGCTGTAGTTTCAGTGACCAATGAGAAAATATCAGATCAAGATCCAAATAGTGGAAGGACATCCGGATTCACTGGTCTTTTGTAAATGTCTTAAAATTTTTTTTATGATTATTATTTTTTCTCAATTTTCTCAAATATTTTTTATTATTGTAGGTTTGCAGCTTCAGGAATATTTGCCAACTATATGTATTTATTTGTAAATACTCCAAACTCTCCTCTCCCCGCTACTACTACTGCTGCTGCTACTGACTAACACATCATAACATAAAAATATATTAATGATTCGCCATAATAGAATGCATTTATATATTTAATTAATTTAATTATTAATTATAAATTTAATTTATCAATAATAGATTTATATTAAAAATATCTTTTCAGGTATATTTTATTTTTATTTTTTTTTAAATTTCTAAAAAATTTTGTCTAATTAAATTATCAATAAAGCAAATTATAAAAGAAATTTAAATCATTAAGTGAAGAAATTTATTAAAATATTAATTAGAAAGTGAGTGGAGGAATAAAAAAAAAAATTTTTTCAATATAATTTTTTTTCTTCGTCTTCATCTTTCTTCTATATACATGAAATGAATGAAATAAAAAAGAAAATAGTAAAAATAATATTTTTTTTTTTTATTGATTGCTAATTAAAATTTACTAATTTTGTTATAAAAAAAAAAAAATATTATTATAAGAATATTATTCTTTAATCATTATTATTTATTTGAGAGCAGAGAAACTATCATTCTTTAACCACCGAAACCATAAAGAGTACGGCCTTGGCGTTTGAGCGCGTAGACTAGTTAAGGAAAAAAAAATGATTAATTAGTTTAATTAATTAATTAATATAATTGAAGGATAATTAATGTGTTGAGCGCATATATATTAAATAAAATTAAAGAATGTATAATAATACGCTGTGAACCAACTTACCGACATCCAAAGACGTGACCGTCTTGCGTTTTGCATGTTCCGTGTAAGTCACTGCATCCTAAAGATAATAATAAAAGATAAAAATTAAATTATTATTAATATTTTGTTATTATCATTATTATTTGTTATTATTATTATTTGTTATTATTATTATTATTGTTATTATTATTATTATTATTATTATTATTATTATTATTATTATTATTATTATTATTATTATTATTATTATTATTATTACATACTCTAATCACATTTTCAAGGAAAACTTTCAATACACCACGAGTTTCTTCATAAATTAGTCCAGAAATACGCTTTACACCGCCCCTTCGAGCAAGTCTTCTAATAGCTGGCTTAGTAATTCCTTGAATGTTATCTCGAAGTATCTTACGATGACGTTTCGCTCCTCCTTTTCCAAGCCCTTTACCTCCTTTACCACGGCCGGTCATTTTTTAATGATTGTTGTTATTTATTATTATTGTAAAAGAATAATATTATTAAAAGAACTATAGTATTATTTTTATTTTTTATTTTTTTAAAGGTACTTTTATGTGGTGTGTGGATATATATATTTCTTTGTGTAAACTTAAATTTTGATAAAAAAAAAAAAAACAAAAAAGAAAGCAAACCAAATATATTATGGTTATTTCAAAATAATTTGGTATGTATTTATATATAAATTTATATTTAATTCAAAGAAAGGATGATGAATTATTAATAATATCAATGCAGATGTATATATCTATCCGAGCCATAGACCACGTCGGAATAGCAATAATAATAGAAATAGAACTTTTTCTTAAATTGGTTTTTATTATTTATTTATTTTTCAAAAAAAATAATCATTGTCAATAGCCAAAAAAAAAGGTTATTTAGTAACACATTACATTTATTATATATACACACGTGAAATGTAGATTTAGTTTGTTATTTTTCTGATAACATTGATAAGAGATGTAAGAGATGATGAGAAGATAATACAGAAGAAAAATTTTGTTAATATTAATATTAAGGGTTAAATATTGATCAACAGATTATGAATTAATACTGATACAAAATCCCATTTTCAGCATGTATTTTCGGCATGTATACATTCATTTAGGTAATAAATTGTTTTAAATTTTAAATTTTAAATTCTTTCTTTACCAATGAGTTCACGAAGGACCGGAAAGACATCTAATGTGGGATACCGAGCTATCCGGAAACACTAAAGTCCCCTTTATATATTTTTTATTAAAAAATATAACTCATTTTAGACTTTTATATTCATTGTGTAACGCGAAAAGTGATTCGCGTTATTAACTCGGAAAAATTTATCTCAGTTAATATTATATATTTTACAAGTAGTAACTCATGACTCATTTTTATCCATCAACAGGCCAATTGTTTGAGCAAATCTTTACTAATTTAGGTAAAACCATCATTTTATCATTTGCCCGGGTGACCCTTATTTGAAGTTTTCCCACCAAGTGGTAGTAATCTTTTATCTATTCTACATATTCTACATGTTCTTATTCTTCGTGGAAAATTCTCTTAAACACAAATGAGAGGGTGAAATTCCTGTATTTTTACTTGTATTTATGAAGATAATTAATTCATTATCAAAAATTATGCATATAATAAGGAAACTCGAGAAAGAGCATAAGAATGTTTTCATTGATAACATTCTGTTTTTTTATTCTGTTTTATCAATTTTTTTGCTAATGGGAAATGTTGGTTGGCGATCCACTATAAATGAGTGAAACCATTGACATTTCTTTAGCCTACGGCGTGTCCCAATACCAAACTTTTTTTCTTAAACAATTGATAATCTGGGAGATTTTTTCTATCTGCACATAAAAAAATTTTTTATGTATATAGAACAAAAGCATAGTACAATCGATTAGTGGAAAATGATATCCAAATTTGGTTAATATCCCCCGCTTTTTTGTTATGTACGATTCACTCATTTATATGCAACTCTTGTAGATTTATTTTTTTTTTTATTAGTAAAAAAAATTGATCGTCACTGCAACAAAAATTGTAATTTCTTCCTTGTATTTTCTTTCTATCTTAAATTTTCTTTCTACGTTATAAATAAAATAAAATTATTATTATGTTTGATTATATTCTTTTCAACTTTATTTTTGTAACCCTTAAAAGAACCAGTAATAAACTTTTGAAATGATCTGACCTCGCATAATCTATCCTTGTGCCACCATCCTCTTTTTATAGATTACACATGAAATGTATTTATTTAGTTTATTGTAGGTGAAAATTTTAATTTTTTGAATCTTCCTTCCTCGAGGACTTTTTCGTCTAACACATTATTTAAAACTATCTCATAACGAATTAGAAATGTATTTGAGCCCCAAGCTAATTTCACGGATTGCCAACTTTTTTTATATTGATATTGTATAATCTCCCATTTGGGTCGTGGAAATCAATAATAGATGAGATTGTAGGTTGATAGATGATAACATTTTGGCAACGGATATTTATCAGAGAATATGTTGCTATTGTATTGAAAGTAATCCGCTATAATAATAATATTGCTCGTTTACTTATTGAGATATTTTGTACAATAATATTTCCAAAGCTAAGTTATCAGTTTATTTAAATGATCATTTTTGAGCTTATCGACCAAAAAATTCATCAAATAAAGCTACCACTAAACCATTAGTAGTAATGGATGTGTGACAGTGATGGCAAAGTAGCTGCAGAATAAGTTGTAGCTATGATGAAGAAATATTACTCCATCCACACTACATTTTTGTCACGATCTTCTTTTCATCGATTGACTTGCTAACAATAAAAAAATTTCTTTGATGTGTGTGTTTATTGCTTCTAGAATCAATATTAATTAGCTTCCATAATAGTAATAGTCATTATATTGTCCGGATATTAAATTGTAATTGGTGAACGGATTGAATATCCAATAAATTTTATATGCAAATATTTTCCCAATTTTTTTACTAAAGAAAATGCCAAAAATAAATATAGAAATTTAAAAGCGACTATTTTGTCTACTATCGAAATTCAAAAATACAACTGTGTGAGTCTATTTGATCGTAGAACAATTTTTACTTGACACGCAAAGTATATTTATTTTTTGTTGGGCTTTATGTGTTTTAGCCTTGAAGATTACATAACGTAAAAACAACAAAAATGTGTCGTGTTCGAGCAGTAGTTATTATCTGAATCAAGTCATGCATAAATTTGTTATGAGGAACAACATTTACTTGATACACTGTATTAGTTATCGCGTTAGTTATCGCGTTTTCAAAGACAGCCCCAAAACAAAAGTGCGCTTATTTCCATAAATTTTTGAATTCTAATTGTTTACGTATTAAAGCTTACGAGTTTCTATCAGTAAGAAATTTTTTGAGCTGTCCATGTGATATGTTGCCGATCTTTTTGTATTGTATTTATGGCAATATGTATGAATATTAACAATATTAAGAGTGAATTAATCGTTGAACCACATGACAGCACCACAGAAACTTCAAGCCAAAAAAAGAAGGAAAAGAAAACTCTTTAATATCAGGCAAGAGTACTACGATAAAATTCGTTCCATATACTATATGTTTGCAATACTCGTAAAACAAACAACAACGTGTCATCATAATAGAAACATCAGATCCATCACAAATTGAATTACAATACCAATAAGAAGAAGAGTGACAGCACCACAGAAACTTCAAGCCAAAAAAAGAAGGAAAAGAAAACTCTTTAATATCAGGCAAGAGTACTACGATAAAATTCGTTCCATATACTATATGTTTGCAATACTCGTAAAACAAACAACAACGTGTCATCATAATAGAAACATCAGATCCATCACAAATTGAATTACAATACCAATAAGAAGAAGAGGTAGTGGTAATAAATATAATATACCTATTATTATCATCGAATCAGATTGTATTACATGAGAAGAACAAAAATTTAATTATTTTCAATTGATTATAAATATTTCATTAAAAAATCGATTTCGTATTTGTCAAACACAACCTGGTTTTCCCAACAAATCATTCATTGAAAATAGATTAATTAAAGACGGTTAGTAACGTAACACAGCCCATATTATACTTGGATCAACAAACTATAAATGGTTTAATTAGTTTATAAAGGAAGAAGTAAATATACTGTCATAAGAACCAAAACAGATGTATGTATGTATCATTTACCTCCTATATAGCAATACTCCAAAGCGTAAAATTTACGTTGAAGATTATGGTTATTTTTTGTGATACAAACAAATATTACTCATATACTCATATAATTTATTTATATATAGTATACCATTTATTTATATTAATGTAAATTTCTCGTACATATTCATGTATGCATTTTAATATACCATCCTCCTTTGGGCATTTATGAAGATTAATCCCAGTACGAGCTTCAAAAAATAAGAACCGCAATAGGTGTCATTTTCATAAACATATACAATGAAAAAATTCCAGATAAAGCATTATTTGGTACACATCAATCACGTGTGCAATCTGCGTGTAGCACATTTTGATTGCAGGCACTCTTTGCAACTTTAATAGAACTAGAAATCTAGTAGTTTATTGATTATATAACAAATATAAAAAAAATATATATATATAAAAAAAAATAAATAAATACAAAAAAAATTTAAAGTTAAAAAAAAAAATTACAAAAAAAATTATATCAACATAGAAAAATAGTATTAATTCATATTCATTATCACAAAATCATCCTCCTCATCATCCTCATCCTCCTCTTCATCTGAATCATCGTCATAATTTACAATCACCATGTCTGAGTCTAAGTGTAATAATAAATTAATTAATTAATTAATTAATTGAATACAAAGAATTATAAGAAATTAATTATATACCTTTGTCATCATCTGAATCTTCATCACTATTAATTATCTCTACTGATCCATTAATTTGATCACTACTTGTAGCAACATCAGTTGCCGGACCATTATTGGCCGTTAAATCATTCGTTGTTGATATTTCTAATTCATCTACTTTCTTATCAACTTGATCTTTTTCTACTGCTACTACTTTTGTAATATTATTAGCTACAACTTTAGCTGCTTTCTTACCTTTGGTTTTATCATTTTGATTTTTTATGGATGATAATAATAAAAGCCCATCTAAATGTTCAATTGTTCCCTAAATCAAAAAAAAATCATGAAATACAAATTAATAAAGAGTAATAAGCAATTAACTGATTAATAAGTAATATTAATAATAATGTTTACCTTTATTATTATTTTGTTTTCATTAGATACTTTACTATTATCCATTAAACTTTCTAATTTTCTATAATAATTTGTTAAATAAGTTTTTGTATTATTACTTTGAATAAAGTTTTGTGAAACTATTTTTAATAAATTGTTTAATCCTTTAAATAATTTATTATTATTATTATTATTATTATTATTATTGCTACTACTGCTATTACTATCATTGTTGTTGTTGTTGTTATTGTAATAGTTGTAATTTATTAATTTTTCTACGAAAGTATTCAAAACTTTTGATGTAATAATATTAAACAAATATAGTTCACCAATAAAGCAACATACTGAAATCAATTTATTTGATTTAATAAAACTTCCAGTACCGCCGCCACCTTTTCCTTTGTTATTACTAATATTAATATTACTATTCTTACTACTATTGCTACTCTTACCACTATTATTATTGAAACTTACTAATTTATAGAATGTATCTTTAACCCAATTCACTAAGTAATTTTTAATAAAAACATTTCCATCAATTAAAACTTTTCCCTTCTTCACCTTTACGTTTTTAAATTTTTCAATCAATCTCACTAATATAAGTGCGCATGATTGATAATATTCAATTAATTTATCCTCCGCTTGCTTTCCTTTCACTGTTTCAATTTCCACCTCCTTCTTCATACATATTTCTTTATTAATTATATCAATTCCACCTTTTATAACATTCCTTGGTTGTTTTGTATAATTTGTATCACTTAACAATACAAAAACTTTATCTGTAATTGTTTCATAGTTGCTACTATTTACTTCTTTTAGTAAACGGATTATTACTGATTTTGCGTCATTAAATTTTCTCTTTTTAATATTATTAGAAGTTGTTGAAGGTGTAGAAGGTGGAGGAGAAATTTGAATATTATTATTACTATTATTATTTTGATTTTTTTTACTCATTTTTTAATAATATTTATTAGAAAAATTTATGAGAGGTGAGAGGGGGGAAAGTAAAATTTAATTAAGTAGAAATTAATTAGTTTTGTGAGTCGTATTTATATACATAATATTAATTATGATGTAATCAATGTAATTTTCCGTCGATTCTTTATTGAACGTAATCGTCTACTTTGATCGACAAAATTATTGTACAAATGGTATTTACATTTTTCTTTTTCTTTTTTCTTTTTTCTTTTTTGTTATATTTGATACAAATAGGTGTGATATTTAAAAGAGAATTGATGTATCACAGATTTTTAATATATACATTCATTGAAGTACAAGTCCTACGTAGATGAGATAGCCTGTGCCTCAACATCCAAAGCGACTCTTGTTGTTTATCCGTAGTAAGTATATTACACACATCTAAAGACCAAAATTTTGTTTGATTCAGTTACTCACGGGATTTATGGAGCGAAAATTGAAGGCGTGATGTTGTCTTGCAGCTTTAGTTGGATTTCTAAAACTATCGTCATTTTTGACCATGCGTTATGTTTTAAACTCTGGAAGCAAAATTACACGCATAATCATTTGCAAAGACAAGATTACAAATTTTCTTGTGGATTCCAGAATGTGCGTTGATGGGGCTTACATTTTTTTGCTTTACCATAATCGGCTTATGTCCTGTTTTTCCCGTTCTATGACCTCATCACTTGGGTTCTCACTCCTGAAATTGAGAGAAATGATGCCGATACCTCTATTTATTCAAATTTAGGATTTTTGTTACCAGCCTTAATTCAAGTGGTTTAGTATGATTCACCAAGACGATTGATCCCTTAACTTCTCATCTTGATCTAATAATATTTTTGAGGATGAATAAATGTTCATTCCTCTTCCCCAATCTGTTTGCCTAACGACAATTGACTAATAATTTGAAAGATTTTTTTGCATTATTCAAAAATGTTTCTGGAGATTTTATTTTATTTTATTATATGTCTAGCAAATAGTACCATGCCATTTTAATATGGTTTGTTTTTGATTTTTAAAAGATAAAATCAAAGAAGCTATATCCTCATTTTTAGAAGTTACATCCATTTTTTAAAACTTCCATATGTCATCTGATAAAAGGGAATATATGATTTAAATCGAATTGTTGGTTAGTTGAATTAACTATAAACCCATGACCCGGAGAGCTAATCTTTTTAAAAGATCGTCTTATCCAGAATGGCTTTATTATTATGAAGCCCCAACTCCATATTAATATGATTTTAAAGATCATTTTAACCATAATTAGTAGTATTTGTTACACGAGTATTTTATATTAATTTTGTATTTGCTGTCTTTTTTCTATATATATATGAATTTTCAGAATTTTTAGCGTGATAATTATTCTCCTGTGACGTATTGCGGCATCACAAAAAATTAAAAAATTAAAAATAAACCAATTATCAATCAAAAATTGCCGGGTTTCTGTAGATGTACCACAAACGAATAAAAATAAAAAAAATGATGAGAAAATTAATTAAATTTTAATAAATCAATTTAATAAATAAACAAGCAAATAAAAGAATTAGTTTGGTAGATATGTCGAGAATATCAAATGATGAGAATTCAGCTAATGATTATCAGAATGAAAATATAATACATCAAGTTAGAAAACTTTCAAATGAAGAAAAAGTAGTTTTAAACATTGGAGGTGTTAAGGTAACCAATCAGTCATATAATTATATGTTTTTGTTCCATATTAAAGGTTCTCATTGCAAATTCTCATTTTTATTTACAAGTATGAAACATATCGTTCAACACTTGAGGCATATCCTGACACATTTCTTGGAAGAATGTTTCAATATAGTAATCAAGAGTTATTAAATCCAAAGAATGGTAATGAATATTTCTTTGACAGATCAGGCCAATTATTTCATTATATTATGCAATTTTATCGAACTGGAAAGGTTTATATAGATGATCAAGGTAAATAAATAAATAAGTTTCTTTTAGTTATATATATATGTAATATATTTATTTACAGTAATATTAATATTACAATAGAAGCATCAATTTCAAAGGAAATAGAAATAGAATTAGACTATTTTCAAATACCTCATCGACCACCTCGACCTACAGCATCATTAATAGATCACATAGCAATAAAAAAAGTCGATGAATTGATCAATACACTTAAATATTTAATCAGTGAGGTTTCAGAACATTACATGAAAAAACTTTTATTCAAAGAATTCAAAGAGGATTTGACGATAATATTTTTAGATAATGGCCAAGCAACTGTTCACCCTGAATTGTATGAAAATTTTGGTAAAATATTCGAATCAACCAAACACTATGCGTATAAAATCATGAGTTTGTACAAGAAAGAAATAGAAGAACATATAATTAAAGAGTATGAGCCTAATTTGATTTGGTTAGATGAACATAAAGGTGATAGTTTATTATATTATAAGATTAAATTAACTATCACCTGGAAATTAAATTCTGAAAATATTTTAGCAAATAGTTTGTTAAAAAAATAATTATTATTATAAATAATAGAATAATATTATTATTATAAAATAATAGAATATAATATTATTATTTACACCAAAAACCTTTATTTATTATTATTACTTTAATAATAAGGAATTAAATTAGTAAAAAAGTAGAAGAAATAACAATAATATAGAACAATAATAACATTAATAATTAATATAACGGTAATAATAACAATGATTATAATTATATAATAAATCTTTTTTTAATATATTAATAAAACGTAACGGTTTCAATCCTTGGTTCTGTACGTTCATTTTTCCCAGGATAATTTCTTTTTATCCAAATTTTTTGATACAAATCTAAATCTGTTCTTCTACCATCTGCATAACAAGTCTTTAATCGATTTTGCAATTCATCAGATCTCGGTCTTTGTTTCCTTCCTTTGCCAATTTTGGATGAAAAATCAATATCTGTATCTTTAGCAAGTTTATGAAATCTTTTTAATGCTTCTTTACATCCATCAAGATTTTCAACTGGTTCCCAACTACAAATATATATATACATGTGTGTGTGTGTATGTGAGTTTTATATTTTTTGTGTGTAAATATATATGTGTTAATACTTACGTGGCTTTTGTGTAGCCTTTCCATTGTATTAAATACATTTCTTTACCCTAATAAATAACAATAGATTTAATAGGATTTAATAAATTTATAAATCTATAATATATGATAATGAAATAATTATTTGCACCTACATCAATAAGTTTTTTTGAATGGACAGCTTCAACTTCATATCGATCATTAGTAGCAGGTTCATGAATATTATCATCATCATTATCAAATTTCAACTCGTCATCAATAACACCGGTATTGTTACTTTTATTTTTATGTGAATGAAGCATTTTTCCTGATTCAGTCCTAGCAACATTCTTTTTGGGTTTTCTCCTTATTGTTATATCGTCATTATCATCATTTTCATTGTCATCATCGTCATCGTAATCTTTTAAATCAATATCCATTTTATAATCGTCATTGTTATTATCATTGTCGTTATCATCATTACCATTATCATCATCATACATATATTTACTTTTATTACTTTTTACAATCCTTGCTTCTTCATCTGAATCATCAACATTCATTATTGTTCTCTTCCTACTAATAACATTACGAAATGGCGGCAAACTATTATTATTTCTATTGTTCTTGCTGCCATTGCTAATGTCTTCTCAGTGCCAATAACCAGTTAATTAATAAACAACAGATATATGATTAAAAACTATTATATAAAATATAAGATTTAAATATTATATCTACCTTCGTCAAAATCCATTTTTTTTTTGAGATTAAAAAAACGCAATTCTTGAAAAACTAAAACAAGTAATAATTAATTGATTTATAATAAAAAAAGCAGTGATGGATTTTCGCAATTGGCCAATAGTAATTTTTGAAAATTTAGGGATTTTTCATTTCTTTTTTCGTGACTAAAAAAAGACCATTATTATATTAAAAAAGAGCAATATCATTGTCAAATGTCCTCGTTGTTACTTTTAACTGAAGAAAGGTGTAAAAGGACCTTTGGTAAAACTACTTTCAGAAATAAGTAAATGATAAAAAAAGAAGAAAATGTTTTATTATATATATGTGTGTACAAGGCACTCCCGTTATGACGACAGCTCATTATATGACAATCTCATTGTAATGATTTTTTGTTTATAAATATAAATTTGTCCTGTTATAATGAAACCCGTTATACTAGTAGTAATTTGTCAAAAATTTTTTAGCAGTATCTTGCGTGATGTGCCACAAAGTTTTGATTGGAAAAACTTTTCACTGGTAAAAAATTTTTATCATTTGGAAGAAATTGCTTGCGTTACAAAGTTGCGAAGACCTTCTTTATGATAAAAAATAAATTTAAACATTTGCTTTGTTTTTATTTTAGCAGATTTAAATAAGTTCAGCAAAAATGCACGTGATTTATTAAAAAAAAAATATCAATCAACTTGTATAAAGATGATCAATTAAAAATGGATATATGGTGCATCTAGTCTAGTGGTCAAATTTGAAAATTATATATGAACACATGTGTAATGTTTTTAGATCCACAAATCACATAATATTTTTTTATTACAGAAGTTTTTTTACTCAAAAATATTGTGGGTTACTTTTCTATGAGATTTATATTGCTTAATTGCAAATTTGCTTGTTCACCTGTAAGCCCATTCCTATAAGCATCCATGTAATGAAAAGAATGTCTAGCATATTTCCTAATATGCTCCAATGATACAGAATCTAATGCTTTTGGAACCATCTTTTTCAATCCATTCTAAGAATAATCACAATTGTTCCTTGCATATTGTTTGGCTTCTTCCCAATATCTCTCAATAAAATCCAGTTCACAATGAAACTTTGGGTAAAATATTACTTTGTGCCCCCCTCTGCTCAATTATTTCTTGAATTAATGGTATTTGAGCTAGAAAATCAGGCTGGGCTTCCAGAATATGACAAGCACAACAATCATTATTTTCATTTGAATCATTACCACAAAATGCTTGTAAACCATCTCTCCATAAATTTCTCTCTTGCAAAACAATATGCATACCTTTTAGTTGACCATCTGGAAACACCATTTTTTGAACTTGATTATTAAATACAGTATCTCTCAATTTATGTTGCTTACCTCCAGGATTTAAATTCATATGTTTTGCAATTGATGCATTGTCAGCAAATGCACCATGAAAAGTTGAGTTGTCAAAAGCAAATATTCCAACACAACCTGGATGCATTGTTTCAAAAATTGGTATGGCTTTTTGGATTATCTTTTATAAAAAAAAAACTTATTAGTAAATTCAATAATATTAATCACAAAATACTTCACCTGTTCAACTAATTTTTGAATATTCCAATATCCTTCATGCTGTTTTCCAATTGACAAAAAAACATGAGCTTCAGTTGGAAACTTTTCATCATTAATTCTTTCCTTAACTTCTGGTGAAAGTTTTAGCTGTCCAATTGACTCACAAAGAAAATTACTAACATGATATCCATGACTTACTCCTTTTTTCAATAAAGTTTGCTGATTAGAAGGACCCCAGCCAGATTTTGTACCATCATTGGAATTAAGGATACCGGCTGCAACTTTTGATGATGGTTGCTACCATCTTTGCGTCATATAAAAACGATTGCAACCACTGGTTGCAACCACCTTTACAACCATTTTGTTTCCTTTTTTGGATTGCGACATGGAACACTAATTGGAATGAAAAGTAGACTCATCATGGGTTACAAAAATATGAATTTTTTCACCTTCATTGAGATCTGGAAGTATGCAAATTTCAAGATTGTTTCCTATATATTTTGGCATCAACCTTTCATATCTAAAAAACAATAATTGATTGATTTTAGTTTAATAATATTTTGCATAGTAAATAATTCATAAATACTCTTTCATTGTTTCTAAGAACTTTTTGCATGATATTTTCACACTCATCATGTCCATCATAATAGACATCTTTGCTATAAGTTTTGAAGTAAAATCCCATTTTATGCAGCCATTGGCATACAGTTTCACAGCCAATGAATGAAATATTGAATAAATAAATATTGACTGCAGTTCAAATTAATTTATACAGAACTAACCTTATGTTTGTTTCTTTTTCAACCCCAACACATGGAAAAATAACAGATGAAAGGTGATTAATAAAATCATTAATATTAAATTTAAATTTTCTTTCATGTAAAAATTCTGTTATTCTTAATTTAATGTCTTCGTCATCTAGTAAACTTGATGCAAACCATGATTTGAAAATGGAATAGGATCTCCTTCTTTGACAATTTGTGCCCATTCTTGAATACAATGAGCAAAGTATTTACCTCTATCTAATTGATTTGCAATAGATATGCTTGATTCTAACTTTCTTTTACCTAATTTAATTAATTTTAAATATTTAAGCACAGCTGTAAGTTGTAATTTATATACATTACTAAAATCATTGTTTTTAAGTTGCTTCTCTAAGTCACTAATTGCAACTTCTGTCATTTCTTTATCATTAATTTAAATAAATTCCTCAGAACTTTCATTTTCACTACTAACATCTGCTCCACTTTTTTCAAAAAAATGCAGTTATTAATTGACCATTTTTTTCAGCATTTTTCTTGACCTCACTTTGTTTCCAGCAATAAGTTCTGGAAGAGTTACCTATATAGCACAAAGGTCTTGATGATGAAGTGTAATTTTTCATGGATTCATTGAGGATATCAATATATTTTACATAATTTTCATCTAATTCTCCATCTATTCCTTCTTCAAACCAACTTTCCTCAGATTCTTCACATGAAAATTGTTCTAAATTAGTTTCTAATTGATTTTCATTACCAGATGAGCTACTATTTATTTTGTCTAAAGCAAGCCTATTTAAATGTGCTATTTGCTTTGTAAATTTAGGCATGATTAATTGATAAATTTCAAAAAAGAGTTAGGTTTTTTGAAAAAAAAACGCGTTAAAAAATTGAATTAATATTCCATCACGTGATGTATATAACATGGAATTAAGGTTAATTCCAGTCAAATTTAGCAATTTTGGTAAGATTTATGGTGGACAAATTGATGGGGGTATTTGATATACGGTGCAGATCATCTATAATCATTAATTGCTTATAGTAACAATTGGTCAACTTCAAAATACTAAAACAAAAAA